AAACGTGTCGGCCGTGAGACAAGTTTGGAGATGATTATTATTAAACTTTACAAGACAGTTGAGAATAACGATTTTCTCCTGATACGATAGATTAACGTGATTAATTATTGATACTTCCGAATAAAACTGCTTAAAAGTTGACACTCTAATAGATGGTTTTCACAGTGACGTCATCTAATTGTAAAGTCAAAATAGCTAAGTTTTACGAATTCTTATTTACACTAGGTTGAAGATAAACAAAAAGTAAATCTTTGTACAAGTTTCCATTCCCGTAGCATGTTTCATTTCGAAAATACAGCAATTTGAACTTCCGAATTTTCAAAGTGCGTGACATCAAAATAGGAATGCTGTCTCGTTGAAAAAAGAGCCTCTCCTCTTGATTTTCAACAGTATAACGATTTTAAGTATGAGAAGACATGTTTATACGCACGTACGGCTAGTTCTTGAGTGAAAAGAAAGAGCTTTTAAAGAAAAAGTAAACTCCAGATGTTTTTGTTGATTTCCGGCGGCCATATTGGTGGACCAAAGCGGTCCACCAATATGGCGTCTCCATACAAAGCTCTACAAAGTTGCGTGAAACGTTTCGGCAAATAACTCACAAACTGTGTGCCACAGAGACCCGAGACTTGGACAAATTGTTTATATATTAGTCTTTTATAACATTTCATCTTCTTGGCTTCCTCCACAGGATGGTTTCCAATTTATTTTTTCGTTGCGTGACAGTGAAAACGATCTATACGCTACGTTTCCCATGTACTTTGCCTTTTTGCATTCATCATTTATTTTATTGTTATGTCTGAAAACGCAACAGAAAACTCTAATGCAACTATATGTCAGTTGGACACTCCAAGGTCTAGCTCACGTCACCCACGGAACATTTCTACAGAATGCTGTTTGAAAAGGAAATTTTATAGCAACTTGACGATCTTATTTATACACTGATTTAATAATCATTTTGCCGAATCACAAATCGGGTACGCCTTCAGCAAGTTAAATGATCCAGTGGTGTTATGCAATTATTCGGCTCAGTCGTAAGTCAGTGGTAATGATAAAGTTGACGTTTAACAAACGGCTATTTTTAAATTGAACAGTTATTCATTAAAACAATAAGACCAAAATCATGACAAAAAAGTATTAACAGATCGCATACCTTCGCGCAAATGGAAAAACTTACAAGTTTTCTTTCTTTCATTTTCCTGTCTTTGTGAAAAACTTTGTCCAGTTCTCCGATTTCAGAAAAAGGTGAAAACATGCCCAATTAAAACTTGCTCCTACAAAGAGGGGTTTAAGCCTTATTATATGCAATACGTGCTTTGTCAATCGGACATGTGTATTGAACTGAAATTACCATATGAAAACCACAGTAATTAAAATGAATATCTGAGCGAAACAAAGTAAGAAAAGCCTTGAATAGTCATTGTCTTGCCTTTTGCCTATATACAAATTTTAAAAGCCTTTTTAGAGTTGTAAACAGTGTGAGGAACAAAGATGAAAAAATATAAATATGATAAAGATACGAAGAGGAATAAGTGCTTGAATATTTTACCTTTGGCTTCTTCCGTACTTCACGCCCTTAACTTTAGGGTTTGCGATGTATCACTTTTTTCTGTGCTTCAATACGTTTTCAAACATGCAGAATATTCGTGATTTAAGCTCAGATAGCTAGCATACTCACATTGTACTTTGATGTGCACTCCCGCGGCTTGTGGCCTTAAGGCGATTTAAAAGGTGACATGTTTTTTAAAAAGGTGACATGTTTATTACGCAAAGCCACCATATTTAAAAGTATGGTGGCTTTGCGTAACCCAAATAAAATTGTACTTGGTCACGTATCCAGTTAGCAGAAGAACTGAGAATGTCATGTCAAGATAACTTGGGCACTTCTCCAGAAGATTACAAGAGTGTCAATAAGAAATCAGGGGGTGGGAGTCAGTAAGAGCGCCAAAACTGGTGCCTCGGTTAACCGATAACAGTAACACCCTTCCCTCAACAGGGATCCCACATTGTTGAACACTGGTACAAGAGCCTGCGCACCTTATAGTCTCGAAACGAAGAATGAGAGCCAACTGGAGGCTAGGTCGGGGTAATTTATATTAAGCTAGCGAGAGTTAGAGGGGAGGGGTCAGTAAGGAATGCTGTTACTCACCTTCCCTACTCCTCCGGATCTGAACAGTCATTAAACAAACTTAAAAACATTCGATGAAGCTCATCGATTTATCAAATGGTACTTTCCCGCTATTTTATTAGACTACGAGTAGTCCCCATTATTCCTCAGGGACAGTAGAGCGAGCGCTCATGAAAATCACCCCACGCGAGAAAGGCGAGAATTTTTCTCTCTCCCCGCCCAACCTCGTCCCCAGGGCTTTTTTCCTTAAAAAATGGGTGGGGCGGGAAAAGGCCCTGGCATCGGCTGGTCACGTGTCCCCTCGCACACCCTAAAATCCTGGGTGTAATAAATTAGCGCTATGTGAAAAGCTAAAATTATGCGTAACCTCACAGCGCGCGATCTTGGGCGGCCTTTTATATCTCTTGACGATTAACGAAAAGTTTTACAAGATTTCTTTTTTGTGACAGATACTGGCTATGGTAATTTTTTGCTTTCCTCCGATTTCTATGAAGGGGACAGCGAGCGGTAACATTTGTAAAACTTCCTTTATAGAGCGATATAAATGACAAACAAGCTATCGTACATGCATAAAGTTTGTACTGCAAAAGTCCGTTTTCTCGACTCTTTTGATATTTTATTTACTCTATTGATATTTTGCGAAGTGGACCGCCGTACACAACCTAGTTCTATTCAACTTAACTCTCAGCCATATCATAGCGTCACGCGTTGGTTTAGACTTATCTTGTATGACCTGTCTTTTTAAAAATTCATTGACCTCTGCGAGACTTGACCGAAACCGGAAACCGCGCATGAAAAGTTTCTGGCACCCAGGGTATCAAACGACTGGTAACAAAGAAAGACTTGGGTCCATTTAAAATTGACAGAGCTGTAGTTGATTCCAATCGATCGGTCAATCTTCCCTTTGATATAAGGAAAATCCTTTGTACTTATCCTCGGAAGAGAAAAGATATAAGAGATCTTAAAATGTTTCAGATCGGCGACCTGTCATCGTTCCTGGCTGGAGGGCTGACTTGCATCCGGCGCGGAGATTTGTTTGTTTCATGGTCGGGTTGTAGAGAAGACCAGACTCCATCATAAAGTATTTTGATGAACAATTCTATTTCAATTAAGTCCAATTTGTTTAAATTCACTGCAGATCCTAGAGGCAAAGGCCCGCATTTTTGTTTGACATTGGACAAAATCACTTTCTGCTTGATCGTACAGTAATTCCACAGTCACGATGAATTTCAGTCGAAGTACTACTCGATAACAGCTTGTCTCAACTCTGAAGCATTTGACATATTTTGTACGTGACAACGTAGAGCCGGTTCTTGTAGCATTTGAATAATACGCAATTAAATGGATCTTAAGCTTTTGAATCGTACAGACGCGAAAATATTGACATAGTTCGCGATGTTATTATTTTCCATTGTTGCTCCGTTCGACTTCTGTCAGCGCAAAACCAGCGGGTTGCATATAAATTAGCTTCTCAGGAATATTTAGGCTGTACACGTGACCAGCCGATGCCAGGACCTTTTCCCGCCCCACCTATTTAAGGGAAAAGCCCTGGGGACGAGGTTGTCTCCCCGCCGCGTCTCGCCTTTCTCGCGTGGGGTGATTTTCACGAGCGCTTGCTCCAAATCCGAATCCAAATCCAAATCCAAATCCGAATCCAAATCCGAATCCAAAAAGAGTGTTACTGACAGTAGTTATACTCAAATCATGCATAACCGATGTAAGTCGTGATCATTTGAGTTGAAGTTTCATAAATTTTCAGATTCTTATTTACTGCTAAGATCCGGCATACCATAAATAAAACCACTTGTAATATCTTTTTTTCTTGTTTTTAAGCTGTACGCTAGCTGCATCGGAGCTTTTTCTGGAAGTTACAGCAGCCCAATTTATAGTGTAGGAAAAAAATTTCTGTGGGGATCCGAGTGAATTCTTTCTCAAGTGACAAACTTCTTTTGGGTCCAAGAAATTCACATGGCTGCTAGCCAGGTTAACGAAAACGAACTATTAAATACCTACCTATTCCGTCAACCTGCATGGCAGGCGTTCGAAAGGGAAGGGGAAGGGAATTAGGGCGCGAGACCACGCCCTCTCCTTCGTGTTCCTCTCGCGCATAAAACTCCCTTTCCCATCCCTTTCAAACGCCTGCCACGCAAGCTACTGTTCAGTCAGAAAGTTTCCCAGAAAATAAGGCACCATTTGCTGATGTTTTTTAAGCAACTTTATTTCAGGTGATATTCATTATGGAATCTTTTTTATTCTTCTCAGTCTCATAGTCTTTATTAGTATGATTACTAATCAGGTACTATTATTAAAATTATTATTCGCAATAACATTCCAATATATTAGCTCTTACAGTTAAAGTAAATACATATAAATCACTAAAGAATCGATTCTACTGGCCAGTAACTTACAAAACTTATAAAGTCAATATTGAAGTGGAATTTCAAATGTCAATGATAAAATCTAAAAACAAGAAACAACAAAAAAAGAAAACTTTCATGCGAGGAAAGTAACACAAAAGATCTTTAAAAACTTTTCCCCTTTAAGCCCCGAAAAGAATAAGAGTAAGATTGTTCTGGAAATTTACCACAAAAAAATACCGTTCTTAAAAATAATGTTCACATGTATACCATTAATTAATTGGCAACTTTATATTTATAAATGCCACGATTATCTGGCAAAAATAAGATATATTAAATATATATTTTATCTTTTACCCCCTCCACAATAACTCAATAGTTCTCCTTTAATAATTTAATTTATTATTCATTGTACTCATTATCTCTCTTCTCATTGGCTACAGCTAATTTTGGAAATCAGTGCAACCTACAGATAATTTAGTTATCTGCTAGCAGATAACTAACTAATCTGTAGGTCAGCGCGTGCAATGCATGATTTCCAATCACAATATCAATTCAGGTTCCTTGCGACGGTGTGTTTGTCTTGATTTTCTTCAAAATAATGTATAATAAAACAATTATTAGATTTGGTTTTTGTGATATCCTAAATAATCAGTTAAGTCTCGGTAAGTGTTATCTGCCTGGGACCTCGGCTCGGCTGATAACACTTACTTCGACCTTGATTATTCCGGATATCACAAAAACCTTATCCAATAATTATTTAATATCATGTCACAGAGCTAGGGTTTACTTAACCCCCGATATATTTCAAGTCCATTGTTATAACATTTCGGTCAGGCTGTCTCCTCGCTCATTCAACAACTGATTCTTACTTTCGAGTGGGATTTTTTTATCGGCGATATTAGAATAGCATTATAGACTTATTGACATAACATTATTCAAGTCAGTGCCTGTAAACAGTAGTTAGAGTACTATTTTCACGGTGAATAAACGTTTTACACTATTCTTGCAGCTTTTAGATTTAATATTCTATAACATATAACTTTTCGACCTTCTTACCAGTCGCTTTTCGGGAAATCGGAGTCCGCGCTCGGGAGGGCGGAAGAAGTCGAACCTAAAAGTTGACCCGAAAAGGATGAATTGGCTCTTCCAATTACCCTCAGGCAAACTTTGATCGTGCCTATAATTAAAAACTAATTGGTGGTCAAAGTCTAAAGGCAGATCAGTGTACAGTGCAGCGCTGATGCTGAACTAAACACATGCATGAACTGAAAGCCATTTCGTAAATTTTTGTTTGTTGTGACAAAAACAGAAATTATGCGTAGCAAATATATTTTTCGTGGTTAATTTTCATCACAACGTCTTCAAAATTCCTTAAGAGCAGTGAATATTGGTATCCCATCCCGATGTGGTTGACACCCTTGTAAAGCAGTAGCCTGATGTGGCAGGGAAATGTTGTTTACATTCCGCCGTCAGGAATGGCTCCACAGCCAGACCAGCGAATCCGGCCACAAATGCTCCCACAGCATTACCAACCGTTAATAGTCCCAATGCAAACTCTTTTTCCTCCGGCAAAACACGCCGCGCGACGGCATGGGGCGAATGTAAGACAATCATCCCAGCAACGATACCCAGGATGGAGCAGAGAGCGATCATGATCCAAATATACGGGAGAAAATGGTACCAAGACTCGAACACAAAGAAGATGAGAAGGGCATTGTTGAGCACTGCAACAAACAAAGAATAATCGTGAGTAATCATATGGCACCATCAGTGGGGCTTTCCGCATGTTCCTCGAGATTTTCCAAAACGTTTCCCGTAATTTCTCGAAAAATTTGCCCAAAAGTTGCTCAAAAAACCATCAAAATTTGCTTTTTGTAACGAAAGTTGCTCAAAAGTTGCTCGAAAAAACAAAAACCTTTTTTGTTCTGATACGCCACTTGCACATCTCCTATAATGCACCTTTTCACGAGTAAACTATTTACTAATTACGTACTTTAGTAGCATGGCGGTAGACATATTATGTTAAAAATCAGGCCCAGATGATGTCTGTTTGTTCAATAGTAGCGCAAGGCGCTCCGCAGGGCAAAACAGAAGAGGGTGGACGTTTTCGAGAGCTTTACTAACGCATTACTAATTCACAAAGAAAAGACAAAAGAGAAAATGTTTAAAGGGTGTCTTTATATCTGCTAAACTTTATGCCCAATCTTTTAGACCAAAAAAAACCAAGATCTCTCAACAACGAACCAATATAGCGCAGTGTGCAGTTTCATTAGAGTTTTGATTTGCATACCTGGAGTTATAAAAACCGGGTTAGCAAACATTTTGTATTTTTCTCAACTTCCCCTGTCTAATAGCTTATTTACTGTGTTGTTTGCTTGTTTTTTGGTGAGGGATTTGTGTAGAAGTGGACGTAGGCAGAATTACTATCTTACCCTCCCCCCCTTCCCTATTTTTTCCTTACCCACAATTCTTTGTTTAACACAAGTGACAGTTATTTGAAATCAGTGCGCGCCTAAAGCTGGTTTCAGTGCCATTTAGAAGTTTAGTTTTAAATATTGGTCACCTTGAGAAACGTTTCCCGGAGAGCATCAATGTAAAAAAATATTTTGAGTCTCACCTGCAAATATCCAGGTCTTATCGCACTTCAAGAACTCTATGGCCTCGTCCGGCAAACAAGCAAAGATGAACAGATAGCCTCTGCCAACGAACTTGCCGAGTCTGTATGCCAAGGCGTAATAGAGATAGTGATCTCGGGGCATTACGCCCGACTTAGGAAAGGCTATGGTAGTAACAACGGCAGAATTTGACATATACTCCGCGAAGAAGCTGAAGGCTAAAGGAACGATGAACGGTAGAATTTTGACACCAATACGGAGGTTCCCACCAAATGAAAGTCTTTCAGGAATCGACGCTGGCTTCTCGGCGCTATCAGAGGTCCCTACGGCTGTGTATTCGACTTCAACTCGTTCTTGAGGCCTGCGCGAGATACTCAAGACGTTGGACTTGTCCAAAACGGCGTAAAACATCATCAGCAGGAAGGGAAAAGGAACTGTTATCATGATTGCTACTTTGGGTGAGACGCAAGTCCATGTTGTCACAGCTGAAAGCAAGTAAAAATAACGAGTTTGATCGGACTTTTATTTCTCTCAACTTTGTCAGAAACGACAAACTAACTTAACTAAAACTGACTAACTTATATGACAATAGTAACCATTTTCAAAATGCAAATAACAAAAACAGAAAAATAAAATAAAATAATAATAATCAAGACGATAATTTTTATTATTAAACACTGAGTCATTGCATAATGTAATTCTACAGCTCTGGTTGGCTTAGCCATCATGGTACAATTTAACAATTATTCCTCTCGCCCGAATGGGCTCTGAGTCAATAGCCCATGAGGCCTGCGGCCTCATGGGCTATTGACTCAGAGGCCATTAGGGCGAGAGGAATAATTGTTTTAGTAAAATCCAACTAGTTGGTCAAAAATATCGAGACAAAACAACTTTAGCTAGCAAAACTCGACTCAGCCGCCATTGTTTTGGTTTTCAAAGTCGGCGCTTTTCGCTACTAGTGGGCTATAACATATAGCCTAGTAGTAGCATTGATAATAGACGCAGCATTGATAATAGGGCACTAGTTGGATTTTACTAATTGTTAATTATATGCAGTTGCTCTTTGTAGGGGAATCCAGGACAGTCTCATGGTTCTGCCGTTCCAGGCTTCAGTGGAACTTGGATTCTGGATTCAAATCGTTAATAGATACACCTTATTCGATGGTTTAGGGTATAATACGTGCGGATATTTTGCGAGTTGTTCGGCAATTGGCTTCTATTTTTAGGTAAGAGTATTCAGAAACATCCTGATTCCGTCTGTAAGAATGACGTTAACAATTAGCAATATATTCGCGCGTATTATATGCCAAACCATTGAATGAGAGGTTAATTCATGATTTTACTGCAAAAGAAAAAATGTTATTTTGGCTTCTATTTTCTAGTAAGAGTATCCAAAACATCCTGATTCTGCCAGCCATAGTTGCTCCTTTTGTATCCACCGGTATTCGCCCTGTTGTAAAACGGTTAAACCAGGACACTACAGTGTATTACGGCCTCGTGTTTAGGTTGTTCTTTTGACCTTATACGGTAAAATTACATAATAGTGGAATAATAAGATTCCTTATTCCATGAGCCGTATTCCGGATTCCACAGGCAAAACTTTCCTGGATTCCCTTGTATGGGACGAACCGATGCCAACGCTACACGTCACTCTATTCAATGCAGGAACTTTTGTTTCGTGTCCTAAATCTAAAACATGAGTAAAGCGAGGGAGACTAGAGACTGCCCTTACTACTCCTAACATGAGCCTTTCTTGCCAGCTCGGAATTTTCCGCTTTGCTCCCACAAGAAAAAAGATCTTTCCCATGTAATAAATCCTCTATTGACAAAGCTTGTTCGGTGGTCACGATAGCTGGATATCGGCCTCAAATTCTTTCAGTTTAAATGCCATTTTATTGACCTCAACTTCGGTTCGGTCCCTTGAAACGCATGAGAAAAATTTGGTCTATATCCAACCTCCTTGACCTCACGCAGTTAGACAATATTAAAAGCATATATTTCTACACGCATTTTACTACTCACAACAGTCCAACAAAAAATAAAAATTGATTAAAGCAATATAATAGGGGCAATGACTTCAAACGGGAAAATGACGGAAAATAGAGCAATTGTTTTTGACAAAGAAGTGTTATGTGAAAGGCACAGATGACAACGCCTGTAAAAAGACATTCAAAAATGCAACCACTAAGAGGCGATTAAAGAAAAAAAATATTTATCTTATATATTATAAACATACAAGGGTGGTGAGCAACTCACAGCCCACGTCGGGCCAAGAGAAAAAGTTTTGCTGGCCGGTTTAATTTCTTAAAATTTTAATTTGAAAAAAATAAAACAAACTCATCTTCACCAATTAGCGAACTAGTTTTCTAGGTCGATAAAATACATTGTAACATAAATTTTTTGAATTTAAAGTGCAATTCAAGCTGATTTTGTTTCCGTCAAAATAACTTCTCTCTCAGGCTTGCGATCTTAAGACCATTTTAAATAAAATAATTTTTAGTCAACCGTATGGGCCGAATTTTCCCTTCCCTCCAGGCATAACTTAAATTTAAATACAATAATTTATGGTCAGACAATCGTACCCGGAAAATATTCTCGCAAACGTGGGTTTTCCTAGCAGGTGCTTCCGATTAAAATTTGGGGGAAAAAATACAAGAAAATCCTAAATTTTCGAGAACAAGAAACTGAAAAAGCACACAAAAAAACATACCACTTATAAATAAAACATTGAAAATTACTCTCCGATCGAATAATTATTGTCTCTGAATAGCAAACAAAGTGACCATTTACAGTTAAGTATAATGAAGGAGAGTATTGCTGGGTCCATTATAAAAGAGTGTAAAGTCTTGATTCGTATACTCAACGAACAAGTTTCCCTACGTCCTTCGCTATAGAATGAGTAACGCTTGAAAAGTTGATTGAAAAGGACCATCGAGTCAGTTATTACTGAATAAAATACTCTTCAAAAGGAAGCTGACTAGAAAGCTGTGCTTTTCCGTGTGGCCAGTTCACTAAAATACGAGTGAGTTCTAAAAACATTTGCCTACGAAACTGAAACGGCTAAATTATAAACAACAGAGGTTTTTTTTACCTGTATAATAAAGAGGCGAAACGAGCGAAGCCATCCCTGTTCCAGCAACCCAAGAACTGATACAGATTTGCGGGTAGAACGAAGTTAGACCCAAAAATGTTACTTCCGCTGTCCCTGAAGCCAAGGCGTTCAAAACAATTCCCACTAACTTTAAAGCTATTTCTTCGACGAACGCGATGACTGCTAGTCCAAGAGCCATGGTCAGAGCGATAAAAGACACCTTAACAGCATAGGGAATTCTTTGTATAAACCACGGCGCAAGAACTTTCACAGTCAACAATGGCACCACAAAGCACACAAGAACTGTAGCAGTTGGAAGATCTCTACCGCTTAGAATGTCCTCCGATGCCGTGTACAGCAGCTCTTGGTTGAAGAAAGAAAGTGTTCCAAATATGTAAAAACAAAATACAGTTAACCCGCTCGCCGATGGTTTCGAAGCAGGCAGCGTCGTGGACTCAGGGCTAAACTTACAAAATATTTCCATTATTCTGTCCCACATGGTTCGCGATCGAGTTTATTCCCACATTTAGTTTTTTTAAATTTTTAACGTGGCTAATTTGACATCGAATTTTGCCGTTGCCGAGGTTTCGGTCGCGCCATGATCTTGCAAAAAACGGAACGAAACTCGCGATCATATCATCACAGACTATATTATGTACTTTTCTCCGCTTTGAAGAAAAATTAGAATTGCAGATTTATTACGGATATGCCACAAGAAAAGGACAATAGGCACTTAACTGAAAACAAAGGCTCTAAATTTACATTCGATAGAAAATAAGTAAAATTAGAAAATAAAAGAACTTTTGTGACGTTAATTCTTTAGTTAGCTTTACAAAACAACTTCATGGCGTTTAAATTCGATTCTTAAGTCAGAATTTATCATGGCGAACTTACAAAGACAGGAAGCGAGACTCTATCAAAATACTTTTAAATCCAAAAGCACGTCAATTTCTTAAGTACTCTCAAAAACTATAGCAACGGCGTGGGGTCTCCTGGAAACTAGGATCAGGAGTAATACTTTAAAATTGAAATTCTTTGTTGCCACTTTATCCATATTTTTATTCGCAATATAATTTTCTTTTGAGCGCAGATGATAACCTTTTTATGTGGAAAGGAAATTACGTTTGCCGAAATATAAATAATTGAGGATTTTGAAATATTAAGTTCATTTAAACGCCCACATGTTTTTAATTGTGTGCATTTTACCTCCTGTGTCAGCGCGAGGACAGGAGTACATAATTATTAAGTAATGTTTTTTTTTTTCTAAATTTTCATCTATGTACACAAAATTTTTAATAACAAGAAGCAATTTTGTAACAAGAAAACAATTGGAACATAAATAGAATCTGAATAAAGATAAATTGTACTTAAACCAGTCAGTACGTCTTTTCACATTATAACCGAACCCACCGTAGAATATATATTAAAAACGGCAGAAGCTATCCAGTAAAAAATATTTTAAAATTGTACGCTAAGGGCTGTTCTCGGAGATGACGTTAAAATGTTTTTTGTTACTAGTACATATGCATGCAAGGCGAAGAGAAATTCAATAATACATTAAATAAACTAATCAGAATACTGACAAATTTCTGGTGAGCAGAAATCATGCAGCACATTTTGTACTTTCATCTGCATTAACGTCGTCGCAGAGGCAACAAAACGGGGCTCAGGGGGAAAACGGAAAAGGGCATGGGGTAGGGGAGGGGAGGGAGAGAGAAGATTATTGTCGTTGTTGTTGTTGTTATATGGCTACTGCCTCCCTAACTTTATGGACGTTGCTCTTATGGCGTCGTTTGTTAAGTCCATATCTTAATAGGTTAGTAAAAAAGTAAACTTCCACCGGACACCCAATACCAAGACGGTTGTTTTGCGGTTGCTTTTTAGGTCAAAAACATGCTTTTAGAGATCAGAAAAATTGGAACGATTTGGATTAACCACTTCAAAATAATAGAACGCAAAATAATATCGATGTGAGAGAACATTTGTCTAGCGCCTCACTTAGCAGACGAGTTTAGGTTGTGTCAGCCATATGTCCTTCAATTGTGACGAAATTAAATGCGTTCAAGTACGGCTTTCTGCTGGCAAAACCTTGCCTATTTTCCTCAACTCTTATCCCTGAATTCACGTTACGGCAGATCTTCCATGGGAAAGTCTTGAATAAAATAGTTCCAGACTCTTGAATTGAGTTCTTGTTGCGTAGGTATTTCCCTGCCCAGCTTAGCGGGCTTTTTTTTGGGGGGGGGGGGGGGTTTTCCTTTTCCTACAAATCTATTCCTTTTCCTTTGTAAAAGATTTGTTTCTTTACTGCAATACCTTTCTACAAAAACGAAGTAGTCGCCACATGTATTATAGACTGTCTTCCTTTTTGGATTTACGGAGATCTGCAATTGCACAGGCGGAAAAAAGCATCACACAAGACGTAAACATTACTACGTGCAGGTTAAAACAACAATAGACAACCATAAAATTACCCATATCTTTACTTCAATGATTTTATAATAATTTACAACGAAAATTTTAAACCCTCTGGACTATCTATTTTCGACGATGAAAGTTCAAAGTATTTGATTAAATATTCCGCTGCAAACAGTTTTTTCTTGCAATATTTTCAACATCGCATACACAAAATAGTTTCATAAATATAAAATTGAAATTTTAGAACACCAAAAATGTGATTTAACTCCGTCAACGGGGCTTTGGGTTGACGATGACAAAAGAGGGGAATACCTACCACGACAACGCTGCAAAAATAGAGAGCTCTAGAAGTCATGGTTACGGCAAACGTCAGATTTGAGTCGAGAATTTCTCAAAATAGAAAGCGTGCAGCTTAAAACAGTCCAAAACCATTGTTACAGACAGAACTAACGAAAGGGGGCCTTTGAACTAACGTGAAGTTACTAATTTAGGATAGAAGTAATGAACAGTAAAGCACAACTTGCCCTGCATGTATGTGTAAGATTAACTTCAACTAAACAGTGCAAATAAAGTTGATGTTGGAAAACTTGGTCTCGTGGAACAAATTCACGTTTGCCGTTTGCCGTATACGTGACTCTAAAACTCCTTAAAACCCCCGTGCAAACGGACGCAAAATTGTTGGCCAACAACTCCCAACATTGTTAAAAGTTGTTGCAATGTTGGCGCAACATTGTTGGATGTTACATCAGTGTTGCGTCCGTTTTCACACCCTGTTGCATGTTGTTGCAAAGTTTGAAACCGGTCAAACCTTTAGCTACGTGCAAACGGACGGAACAACTCCCAACATTGTCGGCCAAAAATGTTGAAAGTGGTTGCGCCTGTTTACACGTACCTTAATACCTGCCCAATATTTACGTAACGTTACAATGACACTGTTTTAAAGAGTTCTTAATTGAAAGGACTATGGATGCCCAAATGCGGTGTAAGTGCTAGTCTACCCATATTTACTTTACAACAGAGACGGCAAATATAGGGGGGAAGAGGGAAAAATAATCGAATACGCAAAAACTGTAACTAGGTTTCCAGCATTTCCTTTTATCGCTCATGCCCCGGTAGTTTAGGAGAATTTCTTCAGTGTTGCCCACGCAACTGACGGTTGGCTAACTGTTTTGAATGTGGAAAGCGCTTCATGGCTGTATTTGGTCTTTTACTTTCATAATAATTTCACTCTTGTTTGTATTTTCGTGATTTCAACCACGAGTACACTGGCAGCACTTCTGCTAAATAACGACCCAATAATTGAGCATTCCTCTGTATGACTAAATAAAATCATTGTGATAGTGGTGCTTTTGTACCGCCTGTATTTCAGATTGTTAGTGCATATCAATTACTTAACCTAATTTCGTTACGCCCTCGGGCCTACACATCCAAGCTCTAAATTCAAGTGCTGGCTGCATAAAACTTGACGCCGCCGGTCGTTATAACAGATTTAGCAAAGACAACGCCAACCTCGTTCCCAGGGTTCTCTCCAAAGGAGCTCCGACAGACGAGTAGAAGGGAATCCTGGGAACGACGTTAAGACAACGCGTCATCAAATGAGAACGTCAAATGAGAACGCGAAAGCGCGGGGGGGGGGGGGGTGGGGAAGGGGACTGAACGCCACCTACGATGCTTAATTTGTTGCTTTACCATTGGTTGATTTCCTTTGTAGATCTGCGCGCGTCTTCGTCATTTTACTTTACCGCCTGATTTTCGCGGTTGCGTCTGACGTTAGGTTTTAAGCAACTTATCCCGGGATGGGTAAGCCCAGCTTCGGAGACCGAGACGCAGTTAAATGGGGCGGGATATTTCTACCCCTGGATCCTTAACCTTATTTCCAGCACCATCCTCTCGGGGGTGAAAATGGGGTAAGCCTAGCCAGGATTCTTGGTTTGAACCACGTAAACAGGCGGCCATGTTCACCCTCAAGACATATAGAGAGGGAGAAAGCCTCACTTCCGGTCCATATATCTGTCACTCAAAAACGTCTATGGTTAAGCTCCCTATTAGGTGACTGGTGCGTTCTCAGTTATGACCCCAGATACATTTGCAGGACATATTTCGGCTTCAGTTTCCTTTTCGTTTCTAAAACGACGAATTACAAACAAAACTAGATGAACTGCTGCTACTCTGAAAATTTGAGTTATCTGTTTTAACGTCAATGCCTTCTGCAAATTGCGCAAGCCGGTGTATCTTCACATTCTTCAATTCCTCTAGCAAAGAGGCGAATAAGTTGTCGGTGAACCCTAGAAAATAGATAAATAAATAAATAATCAAAACACGGTGTAGTGTTTTCGCGTTACTTCCTGAGGTGAAAGTACGCAAGTATGCGAGTTGATCTAAGGGGGCTGGGCTTTCAATAGTTATGAGTTCCCTATGAAGTAATTAAATTAAATTAATCTCCTCACTGCCATAATTCTTACTTGATATGTATCGCCGGATGAGTAACGAGTTCTCCGTCCACATTCCACAGGCTCCTGGCGCGTGGTCGTGGCGCAGTTGATGATGTTTTCGCGGCCAGCCGCTCTTCATCATCTTCTCTGGTGTCCGTTTCCTCGACTCCATCGACTTCATGACCAGCGTCACTTTCTTCGTTAGAAGGACGAAAGTGAAACTCGCGCACACGGTGAACTTCCACAAAATCAAAGTTGAACTGTGTGACGGATTAAAAAACAGCAAAGGAGGGGATTATTTCCAGCGCAATTTAATATAGGACTCAAAGGCAAAGATGTTATAAAGAACGACGGTTTACAAGGATCGTAACATTTGAGAGGTTAGTTTTGACAAGAGCATCTGCGCTGAAGTCTGCTTTTTTACCCTTTGATCGAAATGAAGCGAAAAATGCGCGGCAGTTGCTTCTTTTCCAAACGCGTAAGACGGCCAAGGTCTTTATCTCCTGTTTGGTTTTTCTCGCTCTCTTATATGAGAAAGAGTTCGCAAAACACTGAGAATGAGGTACGGGATACATCTCTAAGAGAAGCTTTGCATTCAAGTACCGATTTCGTTAAAAGAACGACCGTGGAAGACGTGAAAATGAGCCGTAATTTACCCTACTTTGGAAAACTTCAACTATAATTTTCATCTCCCTATTCGCCGCCTGAGAAGCGAGAAGAAGTGGCTGGCAACACTGGTCATCTCAGTCTTTACCGCCGGCATGCCTGCGAAGTTGAGTCGAGTTCAACTTCGCAGGCATGCCTTTCGAGAAACGGGCCCCAGTTTCCTTCTCGTATCTAGAGTGGCGAATATGGCACTTCTGAACAACACTCCGCTTTCTTTTCTCTAAGATCTCGCCCTTATAAAACAATGATTGGTACTGACCTGATCGGCTTTAGAGGTGATTCTAAGCATATGTTTGAGATACTGAAAGCGTGAAGTATGTTTAACAAGTATAAGATCCATACAGCCATCAGCCAGATGAGCGCTGGGAGACAGGCCTTCAGGGCTCTTTGCACATGCGCAAGATATGTTGGCTCCAATCACACTGATGAAGCGACCTTTCACTGACTGCCACATGGAAGCTGAAGTGCAAACAGAAGAAATAGATAGGTAATCTAGCGTCAGTGCTATATTTAACTTCACAGCACGGCGCATAAATTAGTGATAACTTTAATCATGATAAGTTTGAGCTGGAGTTTTAAGAAACGGTCCAGATAAGAACGATAGCAACAACGGCAACGAACATGTTGGAATGCAAAAAAGGTGCTAACTTTTCTATTGTCTGTACTTACTTCTGACTGGCTTAAACAGAAAAAGTTAACAAAACTTCATAAAGCGGTACATATATTCGTCCTTACTTTCCAACCATCTTCCATATAACAAAATCTAGTCTCAGTTTGAATAACAAAGAAATCCTATGTGGGGAACATGTAAAATTGTACACTTTCTCGGCTCTTGTTTTCAACTCTTGTGATTGGACAAAATCTTTTAACACAAAAAACACCTTTAAAAGTGGAGTGTAAATGCATTTTATTGCGTTAACGGCCTTCATGTAGGTTTATGCATTCTCTGTGTAAAAATGAGAACATTCCTATGTGGGGAAAGCACCGTTGCCGCATAACAAAAGAAATTGCTATCCACCTTACCCGGATCATTACTTAAACATAACAACATGGAACCGTGAAATTTCATCAGCTTCTTGCAAGCAAGGCAGGTGCCAAAGAGGGGAAGGGAGGAGAGGGAAGGGGGAGAAGAACGCGAAAGGGAATAGCGTCCCTCTCTCCCTAATTTCCTCTTTTTCCCCTTCTCCCCCGCCCCCGTGCAACACCAGCTAATAAGCTTCTGATTAGGTTTTTTCCCCTTCAACTTACCGTTAGAATGCTGTTCTGAGGTCTGTTGTACACGGGAGTCGAAAACATCATTACAAACGCCACATCTAAAAGACAAAAGACAAGTGCCTTGCGTGACTCCCTTGTAATTGTATCCAATGAGAACAGAGAAGTCAGTATTCACACGCGACTTGAAACTACCTGATTTGTTACAAGACAGGTTACCGTGGCTTAACCTGGACGGAGCCCGGTTTGTGAGCCTACAAACATAAAAACCCCTGACAAGCCCTCATTTTCACTAAAGCCACTCTGCACTAAATCAAGTTCCAGTCGATGTGATCTACAGGGTCTTCCATAACCTGACATTCTGAATTTTTTAACCACATTCACGAACCAAGCAAACTAAGGGCTACGTGTACCTGTTTATTTCTTGATAGAATTTATTTTCAAAATTTTTATTTTTAGATATTTCTAAATTATTTACATTCATCTGTTCCTTGACTGTTTAGGGGAAAAAGTATCGTGAGAGGAAGCAAGTAACAAAGCTGAGCACGAAGGAATTCCGTGCGATCGTTACGCCCAAAGGTCGATTCGCCCGAGGAGGTTACGCCCTGACTTATGTCGATTCGCCCGAAGACATACAACACTCCACAACGAAGTGAACATAAGAAGTTTAGATTTAGCAAGTTTAGATTCCATATGTGTAGTCACCGCCTTTTCACAGTTTTTCCTTTTCAGGCTTAAAGAACGACAAATATGCATCGGGCGAATCAACTGAAGTCCGAGGAAACTCCCATCGGGCGAATCGACCTTCAGGCGAAAAGACCTGATTCCGACTTTAGTACTCACCCTGAGCGACATCTAGTTCTGTCTTGAGGACCAGTGTCTCCATTTTGAACTGCCAAAAACGTTACTATTCCTTCATACCCCCTGTTGGAAGATAACAATTGATTTTCTGAAGAAACTGAACCAAAAAGTGGTTGTTTACTATTTACGAAAACGTCCCGGAAAATCCGGATGGAAAGTTAAGGGGGTGGTAAAATGCGCAACATAGCTTCTCAACTCGTTTTACACCAATGTTGCAATACAAACTGCGCGTTTTTGTCGCCCGTTTTACCGTAGCTTAAGCACTAGCCGAAACGTTTTGAAAGTAAGATAGTCGGCATCACAACATCAGCAAATTATCAGAACTTACCTGTTTGACATGAATTTTTTAAAACCAGCAACATCGTATCTCTTGGGTCCCATCCAGCGAAGCTTCTCGCTATCTTGCATAACATCACCAAAAAACCCATAGGCTGCCATGACAACGCTGTAACGTAATACCTCACTCTTTCTTTTAACACAGCAGACGTCCAGCGGCTGCATGTCACCTGCGCATGTTTAGTTGTACAGCGGTTTTCAGTCCAAGAGTATAAAGAGGCCTACTTGATTGCCTTTGTTTCGTATTGCTAACAGGGTCTGGAGAGGGAGGTCCGGGCATTCCCGCTCCCTTTTCACGAGAACCTCTCACCCCGAGCTTCCGTCATCGCCATCCTGAATATCCTTTTCTTTCCCAATCCCGCACGCGTGCACAAACTTTGGCGAATCCCGATTCCCGAATTGCAGTAAAATCCCGTATCCCGATAACGTTTCCCGAATCTCGCACTGCATTTTGGTCAAATCCCGTATCCCGCTTAAAATTTCCCGATTTGGTCAAATCCCGTGTCCCGATAACGTTTCCGGATTCCCTTCCTGTATTTTGGCCGAATAAACCCCTCCAGACCCAATGAGCTCCAATGTTAAGCTACGTGAATTTTGATTGATAAAAACACAAACAAACAAATAATTAATGCACAATATGTTATCAATTGAGATTGTTCTAAATGTTCTCAGTCAATAAGATTGTCCTTAAAACAAATTGAGCAATTGAGCAAACCTTCCACACGCTACAAAACCGAATTCGGAGCTTCACAAATCTAAAGATGACACTGGTGTATATTGCCATACCTATTAATTGTATCAGTCACACATCATGTGGTTTAAAACATGTATCAGAATAAACCATTTAATGGTATCTTTTTACCAAAGAACTCCAACGTATCTCTGGTGGAGGGTGATAAAGAAAGCATTCACTTAGCAATAATAGAAAAGTCAGAAATAGCCCGCCCGCTCTCTTTTTAAATAAAAATCCAGACAAGAAACATTTTTCTTTTATTTACTTGGCCTTGGCATTGTCCAGAGGAGAAATCTGATTTTTTTTTGTAATTCGTCTTTGGCAGCTATAAGGAATAAAATGGTCATAGTGTTTACTAACCTAATATAACATGAAGAGCTGAGGTTACAGGGTCGTTGTTTCCTGTTGTACAAAAAGCTACAGCATCTGTTGATCCAGCAGGAATGATTCCTATAGGGATGTTGAGGGGGACTGGTTCAAAGTCATGTGACATTGAATCCAACATGGCATCCCGCTGTGCTCTTATGAGGAGACCATTGAGTACTTCATGAAACATGCCATCTCCGCCAACAGAAATGACCCTAAAATTAACATGAAAACTCTAACCCTGTTATAAGAAATGTATTAATTATTGATAAAGTTAGTTATAACAGAGTTAGTAGAAATGTGGGCAAATAATGATCACGAAGATCTTCTCCACACGAAAGCTTCCTTTTCTATGGTATAAGAACTTCTAGTTCTCCAGATACTATATTTCTAATGATTAATGAGGTCATTTGTTTTGCTTTTCCAATTACTCCTCATAATGTTCTTCCCAACAAAGGGAATCACCAGCTGAAACAACCACTCCCAGATCTCTTTCCTTTTCTACCACTTGTTTGTGAGAATAACCCATCGTGTAGTTACTCTTAGGGTTATCCTTACCAATGTGCAAGACGCTGCACTTTGATTCATTAAATTTCATTTGCCACACATCAGCCCAATGGGATAAGCGGTGTAAGTCTGATTGAATGGTTTGTGGTGATTGTGCAGTCCCTATTAATTTTGAGTCATTTGCAAATAGCACTAAATATAAATTTGCCATCAATACAGTAATAGCCCGCGTATAAGAACCTGAATTTTTCAATTTAGCCTAAATAGGTTCTTATATAAATGGTACTTAAAGCAAATTTAGGCTACCGAGGTTCTTAAAATAGGTTCTTATATTTTCATATGAATTTCATCTGAATATACTACATATATATTATAAATATCATCTCATAATACAGTATAAATCATTTATTTGTACCATAGAGCAATGCCTATAGGCAGTTCAGTGCAGGTACAGCATATGTCCTAGATGATGATCTTAATACAGCAGTTTCTACCTATACACTTTTACAGCAACCCCACTGATAAGAACCTAACTTAAAATTTTAGCCTAAATAGGTTCTTATGTGGAGGGGGCTTAAAATGAAAATTTTAGCCTAACAGGTTCTTAAAACCCAGGTTCTTATACGCGGGCTATTACTGTAATTGAAGTAAAGTAAGTAGCTTTTGTATGAAGAAAATAAATTTAAAGCGTGTTCAACTAACGGCTTTTAAGCAAGTGTAAACTTTGTTGTGAATAGGGTATTAGAGAGGGTTGATACAGAAAGGAATCACTGCTACATTTATAGGTAGATATAGTTAGGTAAAAAAATTCCAGAAAGACAAATATAATGGTGAAACTATCCTACCCATCTATCTTCTCCAGGCCTTCTTCTAAGAGGTAATCTCTGGCATGGTTAGCTCTTTGAGTAACTGAAAAAAATAAGATACCTGTTTGACATATCCACTCCACCACTAACAACAGTTCTATAATTGGTGAAAAATGCACAAGAAATTGGCTTAACACAAGTCACTCTGTAAATGCACTGCCCACATGAACAATCATGCTTTACTATCCAGTACAAGTCTTAAGGTCACTTTGCATAAAATCTTACATCAGACAATGCTGCAAAAGTTAAGAGGCAGGTCGGTCATCAAGTGCTGAGGGCTGAGGATTTCCCTTGGGTATTAGAAAATGAGCCCAGACCTGGCTACACAAAGCACTATTTTGACAATGACAGGAATTAGCAAATATCTAGTTATGTTTGCTTTTTCCCCTACCTTCACAAATTAATGAAAGCCTAGAGAAACTTCAAAAAAATTAATACATTTAGAAGTTACCACACATCTTCATTTATCTCTCTGGGATTCGTTTATACAAAGCTTATAACAATAAAAATAAACTCAAATTTTTCGACTTGCATTATTACAATGTTAATCCTGCCAACTCTCACATATTATACATGAGTCTCATGCCCGTGGACTTTAGACATTGATCTCATGCATCAAGAACAATTTCTCATGCCTGATTCACAAATCCACACAAATTGTTCTTAAACAAATTGATAAACAGTGAAAATTCAAAATGATTTCCACAAAAATAATCCAAGAAGGCATTGAATGATGATTTGTGTTCCTAACTCAATCAAAACACACTAAAATTGTTGTCTTTTAAATAGCTTGAAAAATGCTCAGAGGTGGTCGGAACATCTTCAGATGTTTTCAGCAGCATTCAGAAGTCTTCTGAAAACTGTAGGAAAGCTTCAGAAGTCGCTGAGACATTTTTGAAAATCCCTGTCATGACAAGGTGAGGATCTCATGCATTTGACTGAGAAAAAGTTGGCAGGTATACAATGTACACTAGTTAGCTACTCACCAATGATATCAACCTTGATATTTGCCAGTTCAAACAATGGCTGCACTTGTTCCATGTATATTTTACAGCCCAGTTTTCTGCCACCAACAGGATTTATAAACACTAACAATCTTTTTGGTCGGTTAAAACCTGAAAAAGTGTTATAATATGCAGGGCTGTCATTAAGACGTGGAGACTGGGTATTTTCCCCGCCTACTTTCTTAGGAAAATAGAAGAAAAATAGAACCAAACGAAACCCCTAGCTGTTTAATTGCCCACCTACTTCTTGTTTTACCTGCAAACTTGAAATCTTAGTAATATCCCTGATAATACTGGACAGGTATATACATTGTATCCTTGCTAATGTAATATTGTTAATATTTGAGATCTGCAGGGTTGTCAGTGAGAGCTGGGGCCGGGTGTTTACCCGCGCGGCTACTATGTAACACTAGCTGATGTCTCCTGACGCTTGTATCCCAACATTGTAACATTTTGCAAAAAATAAACAAAAACGAAAACAAATGGTCTGGTAAAACAGGACATAAAATTACTGTCAGATGAATGACTACTTTGGAAGCGTAAAATATTGTAGTGATGATTGTGATAAAGCTCTCCATTTAGAAATTGCAAGAGTTGCTGGGTCATTGTGACAAGCTCTTCCTCAACCTTCTCCCTTCACTCTCCTTGCACTTTCCTACTTTGCTCATGGGTTACACATGACTCTGCCAAAAGCGTTTTGATTTCCAAATGGTGAGCTTGATTTCAGACAAAAAATATTTTGTTTAATATTTATTACTTCCAGGTTATATTTCTCCCAACTGATTGTTAACTTTCTCATGACACAGTATTTTTACATTTCACATGTCCAGTATAGAGAGTGACGGCAAAAAGATACCCTACCTGAGAGAATGCTTTGTATACTGTCAATCCATTCCTGACATAGACCTTCATCTTCACAATCAAACACAAATGCTTTCTCTCTCCACTTGTGTTTTCTTGATCTTTTTATTGAATAGACACAAAATGACGAGCTTTTCAGCGATACCAACTCAATTTCTCCCTCAGTGGACAGGGAAGACTTAGGGCTATTTGGGACAACAGCAAATACCTCAGCTAACTGCAAGGACCTCTTGAAGGATGCATTTGCTGTAATAACACAAATTACACAAGTCAAAAATAATCATCATAAACATAATGGGAAGGAACAGAATTAGAGGTTTGAAGATTTTAAGTAAATCTGTTTTTAGTTTAAACCAGTTGGAAACCTAGTTGGTTTAGAATTTCCCTTTGATTCCTAGCCCTAAATCTTCATAGGAGGAAAATCTGGTTTCACCTGAGAATGGACTTTGGTAGGCTTGATTTCCTTTATCTACACGTAAAAACACAACTAAAAAATTGTTTAAAAGAGCACTTTTTTACTATTAGCTTGCTCAGTAGTAATCACCGCCACACCGACCCTCGTATAATTTATATTTTTGTGTAATTTGCTTTTCCCTCTCTTTTGTATTTCATACTTTATACACTTTTTTTTCTCATTTATCCTAAATAAAACTGTAATTTAAGCACAGGGTGTGTAATTAGTTTCACTATATCTTGTCCTTCTCATTTTATTCTTGTAATCTGATATTTTAGTATTATGAATGATGTCTTCAAACTATCTGTAATATAAATTAAATGGCCTGTAATATAAAATAAATAAAGAAAATAACAATATACGAATACAAAATACAGGCTTGATTTTCAGAGATCTCCCAAGTCTGGTCTTTGATCCGCTGCCTGAAGAAAGGGGAGATGAGTGTGGGCTCATTTTCCCTTGCAATGGCTCATACAAGCCTAGGATTTCAGGAGCAATAATTCACAATAATTCTGACCTATTGGTATTGCTATCCAAGGGCACATCAGCTTTTAAAACAATGGGTTCTTTCATTTTAGTGGTTGATGAATTAAAAGGACAAAATAAATGTTTATAAACATCAACTACAGTTAAAACTCGCATATAAGAACCTAGAATTTTGGAGTTCAGGCTGAACAGGTTCTTATATTTTGGGGTATTTTTTCCAATAACAGGCTGATTAGGTTCTTAGTAGGTTCTTATTATTTTGCAAAAGTTATCATAGTGATAGCATTCGGGGAACTGTAATAGACTAGTACTAATATGCTATAATTGCTAAGCATTTACAAAAATGTCAAGCCTTGTTGTCGAAACAAGTCCTGTATCATGGTCCAAGAGAAAAGTCCTGTATTTTTTAATATTGTATTAAAAAAAACTGTTTTGATTTTTAAATGTACTGTACAGTTTTTGTGTTTGTAACTACAGCAAAGTTTTATGGAATGAATAATATCTTTTTGGTAAGACTAAAAAGCAGTACACCACAAAAATTTTCACAATTAAAATCCAGAATTTGAACATCAAATCTGGAGTGTTTTTTATATAGGAACCTATTTTTCTTTGTCAGGCTGAATAGGTTCTTATATATTTGGGTATTAAAATGCAAAATTTCAGCCTGTAGGTTCTTAAATCACTAGTTTCTTATACGTGGGTTTTTACTGTATTGCTATAGTTTTACAAGGTTACTAATCTTGAAGCCTTGTTATTATGTGCTGAGAAAATCCCAGATGAATGGGGATTTTATTATTTCCCAAAAGTCCTAGATTTGCCAATAATCAAAATAATAAGTATCGCCTAAAGTCTGGGATGATCGGCAATCACTCCTGACACATGCAAACTCAAATTTTGATGGTTGGGGATGTCAGACACTGCTGAGCAACCGATTTTGCTCGGACAGAAAAAAAAAAGGCTGAAATGATAAAGGGGTATTCAATTATAAAGCAGTACGTAGAGAAAAATGAAACTGAAATTTTAAAACCTACAGGGTATGTTGTTTGTCCTAATCAAGAACGCAGAAAGTGCAGTGGAAAATGGATATACTGTTATAATATAAAATACAAGAGAACAAAAATAATAATATTAAATCTGAAATCACAGTAGAAAAAGTGGATAACTATCAACAGCAGCAAACTTCGATCAAGAGCATAGTCAAGTGGATGAAAGTGAAATAATAGAAAAAATTCGGTTTTGTATTTAAGGTAATTTGCAAGACGGACGAGATCAATCTATTATAAATTGACCCCATCTTATATTAATGAAATTATACATGTCAAAAAAAAGTTCAGCCAGGAAACTGCCCTAGATGAAGCCAAAATCAAATGTATAGTTTACAGATAAAGCTCAACTAAATATATAAGCGGAAATTCTGGGTTGTAATTATATAATCATCGACGAAAAAGTTGATTTCATTACCTAGTCTGCAATCCTCAATACCAACATGGCCCCAAGACAGTTGCGTCTGAGAAAGAATCACGTCAAACGATTTTCCACCGACATTTAACACAGAGCGTTTCACAACTGAAGCGGAAGCCATGTTTGTTTCACTAAGCACGTCTCTGATTACGCTAAACCCTCGGGCTCTGGGTAATGCTCGTCCCAGTACTCCTCCACTGACAAATAGCCTGCGAAAACATCCGGGGGCCCAGTTGTTCGAAGGCCGATTAGCTAGCGCTTAACCCGGGGTTAAAGTTAACCCCGGTTTCTATATCTTTTGTTCAAAAGTATTTTCTCTGATATTTTCTCTGTTACATTTAGAGTTTTCAATCATCAACTTGTAGACAAAAAGAATTAAAACTGAAATGCTTTTTAAGCTTTCAAATCTGAATTCAAATCTCGCACTAACCCTGGGTTACCTTAACCCGGCCTTGAACAACTCGGCCCCGATTATCTGATACGGTGTTTATGAAAAAAAACAAGAAGACGCCTGAAGGCGTTTACAAGGGATGTGTTGGTGTAAGTGAGAATTATGTTAAATGGTATTGGAAAGTTGAGTAGTGTACTGAACAACAAATGTTTGCAGGAGAGACGGTGATGTTCTGTTAAATACACTAGAAGATGAGTTGCACACAAGGGTTCCTTTGCTCCTCAAAACAAAACTTACATCAATTCAATATTACCACCATACATGTTAAGAGAATGAGGTAGCTTACTACTGAAAATTTGCATTCCGGCTTTACTGATTTCCTTAATAAATGCCGTTCCACATTAAACAATAGTATGTAATCTATTAGACTTCCAATAACTGCAGGGCGCAAGGCTGTGCTCAAGGAAAGTTTTCAGGGTGCAGAACTTGTCAGGTTCAAAATAAATTATTATGTTACATGTGAATTTAAGTGGAAAGATCTTTGAACGTCCGTTCACAGGCTAGCCGGGTGCCTGATTTACACTGGGTAAGAACATTTTCTATTAAAAAGCTTTTTGATAGACACGCTACATACAAGTTGACCTCAAGACTTTGTTAGCGAGCGGAACGTTCTTTTAAGCCGCGAAGCAGCCGAGCGACCTACGAAGTTGCAAGTAATAAATTCTAGCTTTTTGACTTTACTGAATCAAGAATCCAACACCAACATACCGCCCGGCTGGGACGACCTGGACAATATTTTCAGTCGCCCGAGGCCAAGTCTTAGTCGCCTTAGGGGATCGGGCGCCGGAAGTTAGAGGGCAGCCTTGACTTTGTCCTTTTCTACGCAGTAAGCTTACTTTTCCCGCCTTTGCTGATGCACAATGTTTTTTCTGCTGGTGCACTCCAACCTGACTTGCACGTGATTCGAAACGGGCACGGGATACGGGAAAGTTAAAAAAACAAGGCAATTTTTTTACTCCTAGGAAAATACGAAAGGAATGCGCTCCCGAATTTATGACGCTGGCTGACTACGTCAACCTGCGTACAAAAAAAAGACATCGAAAAATGCAAAAAAGTAAAGCGGAGCCAAACCATATGTTACCCCTTGTTACCCCATATTACCCCTTGTAACCCTTGTTACCCCATGTTACCCTTTTTACCCCTTGTTACCCCATGTTACCCCTTGTTATCCTTGTTACCCCTTGTTACCCCATGTTACCCCTTGTTCCCCCTTGTTCCCCTTTGTTACCCTTGTTACCCCTTGTTACCCTTTATTACCCTTGATACCCCTTGTTACCCCATGTTACCCCTTGTGACCCTTGTTACCTTTGTTACCACATGTTACCCCTTGTGACCCTTGTTACCTTTGTTACCGCATGTTACCCCTTGTTACCCCATGTTACCCCTTGTTACCCTTGTTACCCCTTGTTACCCCATGTTACCCCTTGTTACCCTTGTTACCTTTGTTACCACATGTTACCCCTTGTGACCCTTGTTACCTTTGTTACCGCATGTTACCCCTTGTTACCCCATGTTACCCCTTGTTACCCTTGTTACCCTTGTTACCCCTTGTTACCCCTTGTTACCCCTTGTTACCCCATGTTACCTCTTGTGACCCTTGTTACCTTTGTTACCACATGTTACCCCTTGTGACCCTTGTTACCTTTGTTACCGCATGTTACCCCTTGTTACCCCATGTTACCCCTTGTTACCCTTGTTACCCTTGTTACCCCTTGTTACCCCTTGTTACCCCATGTTACCCCTTGTGACCCTTGTTACCTTTGTTACCACATGTTACCCCTTGTGACCCTTGTTACCTTTGTTACCGCATGTTACCCCTTGTTACCCCATGTTACCCCTTGTTACCCCATGTTACCCCATGTTACCCCTTGTTACCCCTTGTAACCCGTTTAACCCATGTTAGAAACACAAATTGAATCCGTCTCCCTTGAGAGTATCAATCTCAAATGTTTAATGTATCCTTCGTTTTCTTTAAATTAAAACTAGAGGGTCTATGAACAGATAATAGTTTGTTTACTGCTAAATCGTTTTTCTGTAGGGAGCACTCTCTGGGCAAGCAGTAGCCTCCCCCGCAGGCGTTTTTAGGGGAGATCGTATTTCTTCCCGTGGAAGGGAAGAAATACCATCTCCCCTAAAAACGCCTGCGGGGGAGGCTAGGCAAGCAGGGCCGGATCCAGGAATCTGAGGCGGATCTTTACCAACACCTCAAATGTACATTCACACAATCTTAGAAATTCTGAGTTAAATTATTATGTCCCCAGACCCGGAACTGAGTCTGCAAAAGGGAGCCTACGCTACAGAGGATCTGTTCTGTGGAACACGATTCCCTCAGAGATTAGAAAACTGCCTAGTTTAAATGTTTTTAAAACTTCAGTTCATGGGAAAGATTTTTCTAATACACCATGACCCATTGTAACTCTTATTATTCATAATGTAAGTTTTTGTATTTTTAACATTATAGTCAATAATTCCTTAGAGTGTTTTAGTCTAGTTTTAAACACGATTCCTAGGAAGACCATGTAAAATGATACGATTTCGTGTATAAATAAAGATTGATGATGATGATGAATTTTTTATTGAGGAGGGGTGGGATGTCCAAACTTTGGGTCAGAAATAGACTGCAAAACAGTCCGTATTTTTGCCTGTTCAAGTACACGCGAACAGTTGAACAAAAGTTCTGAAACGAGGCTGAAAACAGAGAGCGAGACTGGTTTTTTTTCTAGGGCGTGTGAAGCTCGCGAGCTCCGCGCGCGTAAAACTCTTACGTCGCGCTTTACCGATTTCTTTACTGATTTTGAGAAAAAAAAACCGACTGTTTTGCAGTCTAGGTCAGAAAGGACTGTTGAACTTTTTTTTGACAAATTACTTGCTTAGTTTTGTGGCAAAAATGCAACGCGTGTGTCATCGAAAAATTTAGGCAGTTAAACAGATATATACGATCCGGTGTCAATGTAAGAATTTCAGTGTCAAACGAGCGCCAGGTCTGACGGGGGGGACCCTCCCCCTAGAACTGCCACTGGCACTTCTGGGCCTTGTTCGGAGGCCGATTAGCGCTAACTCAGGATCAATTCTTTTCTTTCGTTCAAAGCGTTTTCTCTGATAATTTTTCTCTTTTACTTTAAGGACATCCAGTCATCATATCTGAATTCAAGTCATTCAAATTTCGCACTAGCCCTGGGTTATCTTGATCCCGGTCCTGGTATCTAATCTTGGGGCTTGTCACTCAAATCATATGCTGAATCAGAAGGAGCACCCAACGTCAATTTTCGGAAAAAATATCTGTTCGCAAGACCATTTGAGATCTATAATTTTCGGAACATTTGTTGTAAAATGTCTTGCTTGCCTGCCTCTCCTAGGATTTTCGAATATCTAAAAAATGGTATAATTGGCCATTTTTAAAGGATATTTACTCTAAAAAGGTCATGCACCTAGAATTTTCGGGAGCCTTTTTTCTAGCTGAAATTTTCGAAAAGGTAAGTTTTGATCCCTATAATTTTCGGATCACTAGACGGGCGTCGATAAAACCCGGAACATGGAACATCCCGGAACATGAAAAAATTAAAATATTTTTTATGAAAAAATAAATAATTAATTAAATAATAATATTAATAATACTAATAATAAATAATAAAAAGAACAATAGATAGAAAACAATTTTTGCAAAAATTTCTAATAACAAAATAAATAACATAACATAAAAAAGAAAAATAAAGAAACAAACAAAGAAAGAAAGAAAAAGAAACTGGTATCATCTCCGATGAGAAAACAATATTTTGTCGCAATCACAGGCGTACGGGCCGGGGGGGGCGAGGGGGGTTGCAGCCCCCCCGAATTTTGGGCAACTCAGATTTTTTGGGCAGCAAGAGAAAATTGGCGCAAAGCCAGCTTTTAAAGACGTTTTCATGTTTTATTATTGGTATTTTGAAGAGATAAATGTTTTCTATTTTAACCTGAAGTCGGCGTAATAATCCAGTTACATTCACACGAGACAGTGGTTGCCAAGCACGTGATGAGTTTCTGTTTATAAGGGAAGGGTATCATATGCTGAGTTTTTTATCGTTGGGCACTGGGCTGCAATGGGCTATTTCCAATCGTGAATTGATTAGAATAAACTTCCGCCTAACTTTCTAGAATCATCTCCGCTCGTAGAACAGTGTATGGCAGATAGCATCAGCGATTGATCTGAAAGTGAAGAAGTGGCTGACTAATTCTCACTTTGAATTACGAGAAGAATCTTAATTTTTTTAAAAAAATATATCAAGTGGTTCAAATTATTCACTAATTTGTTAAAGTAGACGGAAATGTTTACGAAACCGCTAACAAGAGGGCTATGATACTTACTAATGAAATCCTTCTTTGTAGCAATTGACCAGAATTATCTCTAACATAATTCACACACATTTTTAAAAAGATTGAAGCTACTATGAGGTGAAATTGTACGTCAAAATTAAGCGCTTCGTTTTCTACAGATAACGGCTAAACATCAAGGTTTTCCTTTTTTTACTGTATTTCTAACTATAAAAACTTTATCCCAAAATATCGCAATAACGCTCTTACAGATTCCGTTTTAACTTCACGAACATCTAGGCGACTATTAGAGGAAAAAGCTCCCAAGAACGATTTCATAGTGAGAAATAATGCTGCAAGTATAATAGCTAATGGCGTCATTTCGTTGCTATGACAACTCTGATGTCATTGATTATGACAAATTTTCATCTTTATCTAATGCAACTGTGGTGGCAATTTTTCCAAATGTTTGTTAGGTATTGACCCTGAAAAACTGTATCGAGGCACTTTCATATGCCAGTACGGCCTATATTGTTGCATCATATGGGCCTCGTTTCGTTTCTACTGTTTTGTAAAAATTTGGGCAACTTGCAAGAATTTTTCGGGCAAATGGTTTACCAACCCCCCTGGCCGAAAATTGCCCGTACGCCTCTGGTCGCAATGAATTTTTGGGCGAGTGAGGCTCCATTCAAATGACAGTAATAAGTGAAGGTAAAATATTGTTGTCTCATACTCAGAGAGGTACCAGTTTCTTTTTCTTGATTATTTCATTGTTTTTCGTTTTTTCTTTTGTTATTTTACGTTATTAATAATTTTTACAAAAATTATTTTGTTATTATTATTTTATTATATATATATTTTTATGAAAATTATTTTTATTTTTCCATGTTCCGGGATGTTCCGGGATGTTTCGGGATGTTCCGGTATGTTCCGGAATGTTCCGTGTTCCTGGTTTTATCGACGGTCTCACTAGACTTTCAGCTAGGAAATCCGAACAGATGAAGAATTTTTAGGGGATAAAAATATGCCTATATCTACCGTTTTTAAAAATACTAAAATACGTTTAACAATGCTATGTTTAAGTGGTTTTGAACTACATTCTCGTTGGGTGCCCCTGAATCAGGTCTACAAGAGATTCGTCACTGTCTTCTGACAGTTAATTTTTTTAAACATGATTGTTTATTTTTTCATTTTACTAATCAAGCTTTTCTTGGAGACCGTGAGCTAAAAAAAAGGGACAGTAACAACGACTACAGAAACAACAAACAATATACCCGTTCACTTTGAACTATCCTATTGTAATACCGGTTCCATTGAACCATTGTTTTTCAAATGTGTCTGAAATTTATCACGGCGATTTTGAACAAAAGGCAGTTTAAATCGAGTTACAGTTCAACCAATCAAAAAGCCAGTGAAGGCCATTAGGAAGTTGTCAACACTCCAGCTTGCGGGGCCTTGTGGGTAATTCAAAATGGCGATTTGTGAAGCGGCCAGGGAGGCCTCAAGCGTTTTTCAATGATGACTGATAAACAAAGACAACATATTCTGTTTTCGTCCTCAAACGGTAAGTTTAATTGTCCTTACGCAGGATTTTGATGTATAGCCATTTGCGGTTTACTCCGATGCTTGAAATTTCGTTCGCAATTTGAGTATCGGAGGACTTCTAGAATTTCGCACCGAGAGTGGCTGAAATGTTTTTTAATTTCGCACATCGAGATCCGTAAGGAAATAGCACTTGCACACACCCTAAAGATTTGTGGAAGGGCATAGTTAACTTAAATCTGTCAAATCATACACCAAGCGAGATCTACTGTAGAGGGAATACTGCAAATTTCTGGGCTACACGCAATGTGCAATTATTGGAAGTTTATCGCTCTATAATCTAGCTGTTCTACGTGCCCGAGGTTTCAGTGTACAGTATTTTTGAAACACAGTTGCGCTGAAATATAGCTTGATTACAGCTAACGGATGTAGGAATTTCCGACAGACAGAAGAACATATGACCATGGACTAAAATGTTATTAATAATTTTTTTAATATATATATTTTTTCATCAGGCTTTTGCGGCGTCGAGGTAACGAATCTTGTTTGATTGAAGCTTCGAGATCATCCGATCTATGGCTTGAAAACACTCAGTGGATTTGCCTAGGAATAACCAAATTAGGAATGAAGAAAATCAAGCGAGCTTTGTCTTTGAAAGGCAAAGGAACAGATGAAACTCTTTCCGAACTTGCCGAGCAAATGTCATTTGATGTCAACGGACGAGACACTAATGGTAAGAATGCCATCACAAATGCTACCTCTAGACCTAGCAGCAAATATTTTTAATATCTGTGTCTAAACTAAAATACACCACTTTAACAGACATCACTTCAATTTATTAAAACTGTAACATTTTACTGGCTGATATTTCCGTGCTACAAACATGAGAATTCTATTTTAACAAACAATCTGCTCCACCAGACAACACCATAATTGAGATTTCGATTTTAGATCAATACTGCCGTGTTTATAATATTTAATTCTCTATCTTTTTTGCAAGAAGCTAGCCGGCAGTGGTCGTTGGTTCGTTTAAAATGCGTAAACAAAACACAAGGTGTAATATTGGTGTGAATACAGGCTCTCACTAGTATCATTTCTGCGGCGAATGAAATTGACATTCATGAAGCACGCGCGAGCGCCTTCGTGTTGTATTCGATTTTAATGATTTTACGTTCGACTGTGAAAGCATTTTGAAACTACGGTATTAGAATGTTTACTGCTTTTCTGGATGCTTGATCAAATAGAGAACTGCAGTTGTTAAATTATCCACTGACCTTGCTGTTGTTTCTTAAATTTTGGGGAATATTTTGGAACTAGTTAGGGACTGATGAAAGTAGCGCTTCTTTAAGCATTTTCTCGCTCATATATATCTCTAGGGAAAATACCGGTTTCAATGTTAGTGTTTTCATTAGCCTCTTCGGCTTCATTTGGCATTAACGTAATTTTGTGTCAATATTTGTTAGGCATATCGAGTCACCCTTAATGAAGGTTCGCGAAAATAATGAAGTCGTGGATTGTAGATCGCTCGAGAAAATCGCAGCTGATTACCCGCAAAGAAAGGTTAAAGTGCAGTTGCCGCTCCAACAAATGTTGTATGTCACACGAGTATTCACAATGTAACATTAACAGACTAGTCGAAACGTTATATAACATATTTATAAGACACTGTGTGCCAAGATTTCTTTTTCGTTTAACTGCACAACCGATGAAACAGCCACTGTAATCGTGAGTGAAGAATAAGACAGATCGAATCAAATCGCGTCCATTTCATTGATTCCTTCCCAAAACTCAAAAACCTTAAAAAAAATGATTATTACATGAAATCAATCGACCGTAGAATAGATGTAATAGGAGTATTTGACATCGAATTTAGATGAAATCTTCTTTAGGTGAAATTAATAATTTATACTGTGGATTTTTTTAATCTTCACAAAAAGCTCATTCCTTCTAAAATGGTATCTAGTGTGCTTACAGCTTTAAGAGATGAGATAGTTGATGTTGAATGTTTGTTTTTGTTTTTCTTGTGTATTTAAAAACTGATTTCACTGTCAGTTTTTTATGACAAGTTCATGAAAAATTAATTTCGTAGATGGCTGAAAAATAAATGCACAGACAATTTCACTGTGTAGAAATGTAACAATAATAATTAGTGTCACTGAGATCCTCTTGTTTTCCTAAACCATTTTTTTTATTTAATTTTTTCGTTATACTGTGTTTACAATTGTCAGTTTTTGAATTGTATTGAATTTTGTTGTAATTTTATTGACTATCAACTTAACATTAGTTAATTTTTAGAGCATTGCTGGTAGAAAACAGTAATATTTTTTATGAAGAGAATCATAGTAGCATCAAACCATCTTTGTGCAGGTTTGGCAATGGGGCATATCAAATTGGAGGTACTCTTCTGTACCGTGTTAATTATTCATTCAAGTCACAAATGTGAAAGGTTTTATTGTCTACTGCTGAGCTATTCATAAGTGTTATGATATTAGCATAATAAATCAACCTTTTACTTAAGATTTTTTTGTTTATTTGCATAATAAAAGACTTTTTTAAGGTAAAGTCCCCTCGAAGCTTGATATTTGTGAAACCGCAAACTTTTTTTTACAAATCGGCCTTCTGTCCACACAAAACTAGTGAATCTGGTCCTTGAAACTGCATTGTTTTGAAACCTCTCCCCAGAGCAGTTTAGGAGCCCATCCACATGAATCCAGGTTAAAAAATGGGGGTTTCAAAAATGTCTGGATTTGTGTGGACATGGCCTAAGATTGTGTAGGCATAATCATTGAAAATATTGAATCTTCTCCAGTTGTCCTTACAGGTTGTTCTCTTTTTTGTTTGTTTTTCTTTTTTAAACATATTTTCACAAAATGAAAGTTGTTATTTTTTTTTGTGAAGTTTGATGTTAAAGTAGGAAAAATATTTGTTGTAGAATCAAGTCAAAAAAGATAATACTGACAAGAGCTGATTAATATTAGCCCCTGTCCACCCTAATTATAGTTTTAAAAGTATGCGCTTGTATTGTCATAGAAAACACATCGCATCTACACTACTGTTTTGATGTGTTTTCTACTGTCCACACTAAAATGTTTGAAAACAATAAAATGCTCTGAAATGTATTAGTGTGGATGGAATACCTAAACTCATCGAAATGTATGCATTTTCAAAAATGCATTAGCGTGGATGGGGCCTTTGTTTGCAGTTTTTTTCTGCTGGCTGTGTTCTGAAATTCATATATTTTAAGGCACTGATTTTGTTACCCCCATATTCTACATCCCTGACACATATGGCTGTCCTTTTCAGGTTATGATCACCAAAACGGACCAGCAAAAGTAGAATATGAAACAGAAAATGGTATACATTCCACCCAAGATGATTTTCTTGATGTTCCCATGAGGAAGCCAAGATCAAAATCAGTATGTTAATTCTAATTTGTCTAAATAAAAAAATGTTATTGTTAGATATCATAACTCTATACTTGCAAATTTAGTTTTGTGGTGAATTAATTTATTTGTTTGACATTACTGACCTTCCTAAAAATAAAATAATACTTTCTCTTTACAAGAAAAATATATTATTACCCCCAGTGTCTCTTGTTTTCCTCAGAGGTAGTGAAATGTCAGTAGGAGTGAGTCATAAGAAATAAATGTCAACTTAAATAAATTACATTTTGAGCAGTACTACACAGGGTTCTCATTTAGTGCCAACTTGTAACCGGCTGAGAAGACTTAACTTCAAATTTTGAGCACTGCCTACATTTGGGCAAAGAGGGTAAGGCAAGAGACTGACAGCCTAAACCTTCACTACTAAGCTGCTCACTATTACATCCTATCAGTCGACTTTGAAACTTAATAAGAACCCTGCCACTTTTTCTGGTTTATTTTAGAGACATTTATAGTAATCTCCAGCTGACACACTTGCATATTTTGCTCAGGAAATACTGTACTAACTGAAGTGTATTAAGTTGACAGTCTTGACTTTTAAACTCGATTCTTACACCTTGAAGCACCAACTTGAACTACTCTAGTTTCAAGTCACAAGAATCAAGTTTTTAGTTCAAGAAATTATTTACTTGTAGTCTCAGGAGTTACTAGGGGAATAAAAATTAAGAGAAAGATCTATGACTGTTATAAAAACCACATGTACATAAGGTTTGTGCATGTCCAACTGAAGTTTCCATAGCAAATTCGTGAAACTGGGGTACAGTGTGCGAGGGAGTCCAGATCTAGATATAATGTGAAAAAATAACTATACAACTGTATTACAATATATTTTTTTTATTGTAGACTAGCAGTTCCAGTAAAAGACTTTCATTACCAGTTCTTCACTATGGCATGTCACTAAATGATATTTCCATGAAGAAGAGCCCTGCTCATCGGACAAGAAGCTCAACAGAGTTTGGTTCATCTAAAAGTCCCCCATACAGCAGTGAACAGCATCTAAGTAGGCGTAGCAGGAGAATGTCACTTGTAAGTGCCTTGTGGTACACTGTAGTAATTTGCTTTCATTTGTACTCACCGTCCTTTAAGAAAAGTAAAAGTTGGAATTTTTTAAGTTACATGTATATTCACACCCTATAATTACATTGGCTATTCTTCACCCATCATGATTTCATCACAATTTTGTTTGATGTTGCATCCTTTAAAAACTGCATTCTGACTTTAATTTTTCAATCGACAGTCTGAACTTGGATATGGGAAAATGGAGACATATGTCAAGCTGGATAAACTGGGCGAGGTAAGGAAATAGTCCAGAGGATTGTGTATATCTCTTTGCTACTAACTTATGCAGGGTTGTCAGAAAGTTTTGAAGTAGATCGGTGAGTTGTCAAAGTAAGCAGCCAGTCCAGGGATATTTTTTTAAAAAATGCCATCCATAAAGAAATGCCAAGCAGAGAAGCCGGTTGATACTAACCAAGTAGGCGGCGATTTTCGCCAGCAGCCAGCTACTTTTGACAACCCTATTATGATTTTATAGTTAACAGACATTTTTAAAATAATTTCATATTGGATTTATTTCTGCTAGGGGACATATGCCACAGTATTCAAGGGGAAAAGCAAGTAAGTACAAATGTCCTGCTACCCTGCCAGCAGAGGTTACAATTTCGCTGTGTGAGCTGGCGTGAAAAAAGTAGCCTCTGCTGACAACCGTTCAATTTTCTATCGCGCATGCGCGAAATTCATCACACGATTTTTAGCCAGAATTAATTGTCAGGTCTATTGTCAAATGGCATGTTTTTGCGGGAGGACTCTGGCAGGCGTCTAAACCAGTCAAGAACAGGAAAAAACCCTTTTTTGAGGATTTTTTCGTCCAGATTTCTGGATGGATTTGAACGGTTGTCGGCAGAAGCTACTTTTCGCCCACCTGCTCACATAGCAAAAATGTAGCCTCTGCTCGCAGGGTAATGCCCTAAATTTCCTTTGTACCCTGAGGAAAGAAGAAATGGAGAAGCTTAATCAAAATTAACCTGAAATCAATTTGACTTGTAACAGAAACATCAGGGTAATGTGTACTCAAAATTAATTTCTTTTTATTTTAGACTTACAGATAATTTGGTTGCATTAAAAGAAATTAGACTAGAACACGAGGAAGGAGCTCCTTGTACAGCGATACGAGAGGGTAATATGTTCTTTTCATGTTTATATTGTCTCAAAAATAATAGCAATCTCTCTCCCCCTCTCTTTTACTTCTATGTGTTTATGGTTATTTGTTATTATACCTTACGAATATTGTTTTTTCTTTTCTGGCAGTTTCTCTGTTAAAAGATTTGAAGCATGCAAATATTGTTACTCTTCACGACATTGTTCACACACCAAAGTCTCTCACACTGGTATTTGAATATCTGGTAAGTGTCATTGCATGTTTATCACTGGTTGTTATGTTGCTACATGTATAGATGTAATATTATTAAATGTTATTCATCTTGATACTGTTTACTGGGGATTCCTTCCTGCTGTTTGTTGATTTTGATGTTTAGTGCTGTTTGTTTGTTTGTTTTCTCAGGAAAAAGACCTCAAGCAATATATGGATGACTGTGGCGGAATTATGAGCATGAACAATGTCCGAGTGAGAGCAAACTAAATTTATGTCTCTATTATTTTTTTTCTGTACATGTAAGGGCATCACTGATTTTAGCAAGGTAACTTATTTATTTCACTTTCATTTCTTGCAGTTATTTCTGTTCCAGTTACTAAGAGGACTGCATTATTGTCATAGCAGAAAAGTTCTCCACAGGTAAGCCTAATTAATGTTAGGCTGTTATTATTAAATGTGTATAACTTCATGTACAGTGTATGTCATCCTCTGGCCCTTCATTAGTAAAGCTTTCCTTAAATGTACTTTATGATGTAAAATGGGTTTACCAGCCAGCATGGGCGTCAAGCTTATCTTTGGCCTACGATTGAGGGTAAAGCCAAACTTTCCAACCAATTTGGGAGCTGGCCTATTACCTTGCCCTAGCGAACCCTGTTTAATATTATTATTAAAAAATCTTTGAAAGAAGAGAAGGAACAATTCTGCCAGTTTTCCTCCTTTGCAAGTACTGGCTGAATTCTCATGAGCAGGAAGAGTCGCACTTTGGTGTTGTGTCAGTCCATTTATGATCTTGTCTAACCCATACAAATGAAGGCACTTGTCAGATAGACCATATAGGATTCTACTAGGTTTATCCTACCAGTTCTTTCCCCACCCCCCCCCCCCCCCCCTTCTGTGGAGGCTGTAGATAATTGCCAGTCTTGGTGAATATGCTTTGCTATTGTGCTGTCATCATCAATCCAGATAAAATTGAACTTTTAATTTGCAGAGATCTTAAACCACAGAATCTGCTCATTAATGATAAAGGAGAATTAAAGTTGGCTGACTTTGGTGAGTACAAGACTTCTAAGTTCTGTCTTCTATAATTGCCTTGTAAAATTCTTGAATTAAATATGTTTTACATCTTATATGAGTGATGTGAGGCCATCATTGTCATTATTATTGTCATGTTTATCATCATCATCGTCATCGCTACAACCTTAGGTCAAAACGCTAGAACAAGATCAGAGTCTTTGTTAATATCCCAACTGTCTAAATGCATGACACATGTCATAGAATGGCACTAATTCATGCTCTCTAGTGTTTGTTTTGTTTCATTGAGATGTGTGTGGCCAAGTTGTTTGCACCTGGAACTCCGGATCTGGAGGTTCAGGGTTCAAGCCTCGCCCATCATGTTGTTTCCTTAGACGAGGAACTTTACGCCTCTTTGTTTCTCTTCACCCAGGTGTACAAATGGGTACTGGTGATTTACTGTTGGGGGGTAACCCTGTGATGGAGTAGCACCCCATACAGGGGGAAGTAGCAATACTCTTAGGCATGCTACATGCTAAGGAAATTGGGACAAGCTCCCACCGTTTCGGCCTTTAGCTCGTGTGCATCTTTACTCTTTACCTTCTTACTTTTTTGTTTCCAGGCCTTGCAAGAGCAAAATCTGTACCAACAAAGACATATTCTAATGAGGTGGTGACATTATGGTATGTGGTGATAAACAATATCATGTAATCTAACTTGTCTTGAGGTTCTTAGACGTATAGTACTCAATAGCTTTCTTAATTTGCCTTGGTTAGAGGAAGATCATAGATATCAAATTCTTGCGCCCATATAGTAAAAAGTTACTTGTGTTTAAATATCATATGGAACTGCATTTTTGTGAACCAGCCATATGTACATTGCTCCAATGAATTCTTCAAGTCACACGGTCTTGTTCATATTCAGATGTTAATTTGCGCCTAATAAGAAATAAATTATTAATTATTATTATTATTGAATTATTATTAATTATTTATTGTTTTTCTGCAGGTATAGACCTCCTGATGTACTCTTGGGATCAACAGAATATTCGACGCAAATTGACATGTGGTAAGAAAGCTTAACCCTTTAAGCCATATTATACAGGTACAAATTATCCAAGGTGATCTCTATACATTTCCTTAAAGAAGTCGTTGGGAGAATTTAAAAAAAAGATCAAAGCATTTTCCTACTAGTGATCATTTTTTATGATTCTTAACGAAAAATCCTAATGATACGGATTTTTTATCTGATCTTGGATTTTAGTAAAGAAACGCACCTTAGAGAGACATTACTGGGACAGCACGAGGTGCCTTGACTTACTGGGAGGCATTGACCATTCACTCTATAGAGCAGAAGAAACCAGCTTCATCGTGTTATTGGAGGTGTTTGTTCAATTAACAATAAAGTTGACTGCACCTTTGTCTTGCAACTTGCTAGGCTTGTTTACTGGCCATTCCCCAACAAAGAACGCTGCTGGCATCCACAAAAAGTTGATCTTGAGGCAGCAAATCAATGTCTCACGACCTGTATTGAGAACTTTCAGCCGATGTAACTGCTTCTGTTTTGGCACTCTTGGTTCCCTCATTCAAAGTTAATTCTTCTGATTACGAGTTTGAATGTTTTACGTATTGTTTTTCCTCAGGGGGGTAGGTTGTATATTTTTTGAAATGGCAACAGGCAGGCCATTTTTCCCTGGCTCAACTGTAGACGATCAACTTCATTTAATATTCAAGGTGAGGATAAAATGAGTCTAATAATTGCAGACGATAAGAGGAGCCCACAATCCTAATCTCCAGGTTGTTGTTGCGCATGCGTTGCATGTATTTAGCCAGCATTCGTTTTGACTCCCACAATGAAATGCACAGAACGCAATTTGATACCGCGAGTTTGGACCTTCTATCACTCGTAATCTGATCACGCGTGTTTTGCCTATCTCTCACGAAAAACTTACGCAAAGCACAGCGATTGAGCAAAAGCGTTCTGACCTTCGATCGTTGTCGCCCGCACTCTGAAACCTTTGGTTATTGCTAGTATAATTCCTGTGAGCTGTTTATAGAGAGCAGTTTTCCTGGGTCATTTTTTGGGTAAAACAATTTGGCCGAATTTACAGTTCCTAGATCTTTTCACTTGAGTACCCTCACTCCCCATGTACGAGATGTACACTTTTAAGCTATTTCAAAGTACACATGTAAAGAGGCTAACACAAACGGTGTTTTTGGAGGTATGGATGAGCATTCTTGAGATCTGAAATATTGTTGTGATTTTTATCTTTTTAGACGCTTGGCACCCCAAATGAGCAAACATGGCCAGGAATAACTAGTAACGAACTCTTTCTTTCAGGTAAATATTGTTGCAACCGTGATCCCAAATTAGCTTTTGGGGGCGCACGTGAAGTAATCAGTACTTATTCATTCTTGTTTTGATATTTTCAGCGAGATTTCCTTATTACCCGAAGGAGCATCTCATAAATCTATCTCCAAGGTAAATATGTGAGAAAATACCTTCAGTTTTTTCCAGTATTGACCGCATCTTGTGCCACAAGCCTTGCATGGAAAAGTGAGAAGGACACGTTAAAATAGCAAATAAAGTCACCAACTTCATCAACTTCCAGTGTCGTTTTGCTTTCGCAGGGTAAAGAAGGGCCTGGAGCACACGTCCAGGCGAGTTTTTGCGCCGTTAAGTCGAGTATCGATCACTGTGCGCGGGAAAATGTCCGTGCATCCGTAAACTGTTTAGTCTGCTACACAGCCGTTTTTAGTGTCGTCACGCAATGCTCCTCCCCACTAGTGGGCAGGAGCGTTGCGTGACGACACTAAAAGCGGCTGTGTAGCAGACTATAAAATCTTCTTTGGAAGTAAAGCGTGTCGCATGAATGTTGTTGCTAGAAAAGCTAACGACGCTTTCAGTTGACAGTCCGAGGGATTTTGACAATGAGATGATTATCTTGTATTTCTCTCTGTTACAGACTTGATAACTCAGGACTTAACTTACTTGAGAGATTTGTCGAGGTAAGGTAACTTCAGTGTCCTTTAGGTAAGGTAAAGGCGCATACAAGCTATTAGGCCCACGCGGCCGAATTTTATTCCGGTTTCTGTAGTTCTGTAGCATGAAGGACCAAGGAATATTGCACCCCGTCAGGGCACCGTGTTGCTGCGTTTTTTGCGCGTGGGGCCGTCGCCAAAACTTTTTAAATCGTCATACCCTTTCGTGCGCCTAGCCTGAAATTCATCCGATTGCTTCGAGCCTTTTTCTCCTCTCAACAACTGAGGGAGTAATAACGACTCGAAGTAATCGGATGAAATTCAGGCTATCTTGCGCCCAGATGCGATCCCTTTGGCCTGATCTTGGTCGTATTCATGAAAATGTAGTTATCAGATTTATTAAGTTAACAAAACATGTAAAACAAGTTGTCCTAAGTGTACTTGTTTACAGTGTTTCAAGTTAGTAATGTTAATGACAAATCTCAAAACTGATATATTTTTATCTTTTTAAATCTTGTTTTTTCTTCTTGCAGTTCATTGTAAAGGACAGAATATCTGCCCTGGACGCTATGAAACATGATTATTTCTTCTGCTTGGGCAAACACGTTCAGGAATTAAAAAATAGTAAGTTCTGCAATATTCCCAAGTTTCAAGAGCTGTCTAGTCCCTGCAAAACTCGACTCCTCTCTCTTCTTAACGTTGACAGGGATGTAAATTGCAGTTTTTGGTTTCATTTAGGTTGTTCAGGGTGGAAAGCAAATCTTTTTACCCATAAAACAATCGTTAAGGGTTGTGCGTAAAGAAGTGTTTATAAATAGAAAGTAAATGCCGTCTTTCTCCAACACAGTAAGCGTCTTACTCTGTTGGAGTATGGTCTCCTTTAGGCGTTTAATTCTAAATTTCCGAGCAACAACCCCGCCTCTTGCATATGGAACAATCCCCCCTCCCGGAACGGCAACTCCCCCACCACCCCCGCCAATCGTGGTCTTGCGCCCATAAAGCTGAGTCTGGTTGATATCCCAGTCAAATGAACAAAAGTCATCGGAAGTCAGAAAATAAGCGTGGTAGTTGTTTTGTTTATCAGTTTGTGTTCACATTTTCTTGTGTTCATCTTTTACAGTCCAGTCGATCTTTAGTATCGACGATATACGGTTGACAAGAGATCCTGGGTATAGACCTGTTGGACGATCAAATTTTGGTGGGTTTTTACCTGATGAATACCTTTGAAAGACTACTCATTAAAGAATAAGAAGTTAGAATACCTTTCATAGCATACTTACAGTTACAGTGCCTGTGAAACGCACTGCTCGGTAGCTTTCATTTGAATGGTTACATTGTAGTATTTCATTCACAGACTCAAAATTTAGAACCACCTTGTACGGCGTAATTAGTAGTACCACAGGAAAGTACTGCTCCGTAGCTTTTATTTGAATGGTTACACTTTAGGATTTCATCCACAGACTCAAAAACTAGAACCCACTTGTACGGCGTGATAAACAGTACCACAGCAAAGTACTGCTCTGTAGAGTACATTCATTCGAGTGGTCACACTTAGAGATTGTATCCACAGACCTTTAAGTTAGAACCTCGTTTTATTGTTTGTTATCGTTCAATCGCGAATCTACTTTTCCGTTCCGTCTGTAGGAGGCCCGGCTCGACGGAGACAGAGTATGCTGTTCTAGTTACCATTCTCTCACGACAAGGAATACCGCGCTTATTCGTACGAAATCTGGTACTGTTCATCTGGGGCTGGTTTCCCTGTTCAACGGATATGCGCCAATCAGCTGTGGAATGATCGATTTTTACACGAAAAGAAACTGTTCTTACTGATCCAATGCTTTATCTTTGTTAATAATATAATATTTTAGCCTTATCCTAGGCATTCGTTTCGCACATGAGCAGCCTTTTTCCTTTTTAATCAATTGTTCGTTGAACGTAAACACGTTTGAGATACGAAGGACTCTTCTTTAAAGGGTGTCTCTTGATTAGCCTGGGATCAAGGGGGGCGGGGGGAGGGTCCACACGGTTGAGGTGTAAGGTTTTCATCGACTACCAGTTTCTTTTTGCTTTCGTAGGGTCAGGAAGGGAGCAAACGTCCACGCGATTTTTGGAGCGGTTAGGTCGAGTGTCGATTACTGTGCGGGGAAAAAGGGATAGTTCGTATTTTTACTTTTTTACTTAAAAAAAAACCAAAAAATGGTACTGCAAAGAACACATCTATGTTTGAGAAATCTGGATATACTTCTTACCTAATGCGTCTAGAAAGTTCAACCGGAGGCTTTTATCTTTTTGTCCCAGAAACCAGTTATTTTGCTTTGCCAGCTTATGCAGCAAAAATTCTTGATAAACTAAATTCACATGTCGATGATCTCAAATTGTATAGGGTCTGTGCCTTTTGATCAGTTTAAGTTTGTGGGAAACTGCCTACCCACCCCTCCCCTAACTCAACGTTAACACCTACTTCTCACTTAGGGCAAAATGTTGGCAAATTGGGTAGTTTCCCCAGAAACCTAAACTCTTCCTTTGATTCTTAAATGAAGAATTGGTAAATATGCAATTGTACAAAGTTTTGTTTTTCAAATTCTTTTTAAATAACAAATTGGTTATTATATCAGTGACAGGCAGAGTAGTAGTTAGGTAAACACGTTTACATAGAGATTTGTAGTTTAATATTCGTTTTTAGTCTGTATCATCTGTAGATCGAATCAGTTACTAATAATTTGATATATTTTAATTTTAACACGGACGCTGATATCACAAGCCTATAAATACTGTACCTCAAGTCAATAAATACAGTATCAACAGCTACAAACCCTTTGCTTGTCATCCTTCTTTCTAGCCAGCGAAAAAATCCGTTTCTCCACGCTCTTCGCCGCTGGGGACGTTTTGCGGAATATAGTCTTTTCAAGAAGAAGCATTTTAGTTTTCTGTAGTTTTGCTGGAGCTCGTTGGCAGACGAACACAACACTTTACCAAAATCGACCATAACACTCGTCAAATGGGACAAATTTATATTTGGAACCCCATGTCTACCGGATTTATTATCTGAACATTGATTTGCGTCATCAGTATCGAATTTCTGTCGCTGAGTCGCAGACGTTCCTCCGCGCGAAACGTCCCCAGCGGCGAAGAGCGAGGAGAAACGGATGTTTTCGCAGGCTACCTTCTTTCCAATTATATTATAATGTAACCCGAATTATCATTTTAGGGGCTGTTTTATGGAGGGAGGAAGATCCTAGCACTAGGAAGACCCTAGGAGGTGGAGCTCCCTAGGGTATTCAGTTTACATGCAAGGGATTGTACTTGTGCCCAGGGCTAGGATCCTGCTAGCTGAGGGATAGAAAGATCCCAGCACTAGGATGAACCTGTAGCACCATGTAAACTGCTTTCGTTTGGAAGATCACACTACTAGGGATAAACCAGACAAACATTGCGGCGAGTCGTTCAGTGGGTAATCACGGCAAGAAAAGCCGACAACTCGTTTTGCGCCAACAGGGGTAAAGAACTGCCAGCTTTTGCTAAAAGGTAGTTATTAACGCTAGTAAAGAAAGCAGAAGGGAACGGCTCTACCTATTAATCGCGCGGAATAAAAACTCTGTATGTAAACCCAACGAAAAGTTGTCCCGCCTTCTTGGATCTTCGTGGTGCCAGGATCTTCCTCCCTCCACGAAAGAGCCCCCTTAGGAAGAGAAACTAGGAGAAAGCGCGAAACGCGAATGCAGTGTGGTTCCTACCTCCAAGGTTTTTAAAGATGCGGCTCTATGGCAGCAGTCAGCCTGCGTCGGTTTTTTTGATCATGACGAATGTACGTGCCTGTGATCTCAATCCGATGTAGCTCGACGTGCAGTGAGAGAGCATATAGTGTTTTCACATGACGGGTTACGGTGGCCATATTGGTGTTGCAAAACAATGAAATAGCGGCCTGGTTGCTGTTACAAGAACATCCGCTGGGAGTTGAACTCTTTTCTTAAGTAAAAGCTTTCTTTGGTCCCAATAAATTTGCATAGATGCTGGCCATGATTATTAATTTGTTGTATTCGTATTCATTCGAGCACGTCTCTAATTGTACCTCATGTATATTAACAAGGTTTTATGCATTGTTCTCAGTTCCTATAATAATCAACATTCACAGAGGCAGTATCAACCAAAACAAAGTTGCTCCAAAGTTTTGAGTCGCATCGCTGATTTTGTACGTATCAAACCGTAAAAAGTTTAAGTACCAAAAAGGTAAGATACTGAGTTTCATTTGCTTTATGCCGGTAGTTGTTTGAACCTGCTCTGTGATACATTAGTGATACATCGTTGCTGTTTGATACTGAACAGCATAACCATCGAGACAAGAACGTAACACGAAGTGAGTTCTATTGTATGTCCGAAGTGACTAATGTGGGGAAACATTTTGCCTGTCTTCAAAAAAAACTCATTGTTAATTAACACACCGAAAGTGTAAAATTGGATTGGATTTGAACAACTGAAAGCAACTAGCGAATGGGAAAATTTACGGAAATGTCTCCTGGTGTACCTAACTTTGAATTTAACTTCCAGACAGACAGTAGCTTTTTTGAATAATTAGCGCCAAGTTCTCGAAAAAACTCCTCTTCATGCTTGAGAGCTGAAAAGTTTTACTAAAACACTGTGATTCGGATAAACTAGCAAAGACGAAAGAACACAGAGAACGAGCCATCAATTTAACACTTCACATGAGCTCCGTATAGAGTGCATGCATTTACGCTCGACTGCCCATAGATCTCTCCTTAATGAGCTACAATATGCTCGGGTTGAAAGAGATAATTTTTGGACAGAGAAACAGGGCCAGGTTAATTACTTCACTCAATTTGCGCCTTATTCTTCTTGCATACTCCCAACAGGGTGAAAGGTCTCTTGGAGGTACCCATTTCAAGAACTGAGTATAAACGCACGAATAAAGTAATGCCTTGCGCGCCAAAAAGATACTTCTAAGAATTGTGATTATAGGAGTCGTATTTTCCGTGGTTTTCAAAGTCGTGAGCTACTGTAAAGCCTTCTGTAATGCGAGCCTTCTTTTTCAGGGAAGCACGGGAATTCGCTCATAGCCGCATTGCATTGCGAACGCGAGTCATAGGAGGCAGGCCGGAGGCGGGGTGGGGGAGTTGCGTGACTAAGAGAGACTGGCTGGGTCACACTTGCGCGTGACCATTCCAAATGAAGGGCCTGCTTAAAGTCTGCTCCTAATATTTAAGGCCCTAGAAGGAAAATATACCAATTGTTTTGTTACTTGTTGACATTCAGGCTGGTGAGGATTAAATATGATTTTTGGAGAGGCTTTGATCATCGCCTTTCTGGCCTCAACCCTGGGTTTATTGGGAGTGTCACTTCACAGTATGTTCACATCACACCACAAAAACACCTTGGAGCTTCGAGAACTGGAAGACAAAATGATGGATAAATATGGCTGGGCCCCTTCAGTGCCTTACAACGCTTACGCTTGAGTCAGCAACTTCTTTTTAGCCTGTTAGCAGATGAACCTTAAATTGACTTCATTACCAGTCCATGTAGTGTTCTCTGGGAGTGCCGATGAGTGTACGTTTACTGATTTATATATACACTGGATGCTATCAAGTAACTGATTGATTCCAACTGCACAGCGAAGTTATGAACATTAGACAACGATTTAACGTATCGTATCGTATCGTAACGTATCGTAACTTATCGATTATGGCAAATCATTCTTTATTTATCAAAACGAATTTCTAGACTTGTTTTATGGTATGACAACCTGCATTTACCATGTGTTACGAAACCCTTAGTATTCTTTTTTCACGAATTTCAATCGTAATCAAAACGATTTTAAACTGTAGCTACAGATGATTGACTCGGTGTAATTAAGTAGAATTTTAATGATCCTAACTTTTTATACAGAGAATAAACTTATTGTTTCTAGATGACAATAACGCCCTTTCTCAGTTTCAGCCCTATCACGTTCAAACAAATCCGCTCGGCAAGTGCCAAAAAAAACAAAACAGATTCAAAACCGCCACGCACTGAGATTTTTGGGTTAAATTTCTTTGAGGTAAAACTATAGTCAATTTAATGTCGTACCATTCTAAGGAATTAGAGGAAGTTTTCACTCTAGAGACGCATAACCCATCATCTATTGCGAATCGTTTACCTTGGAAACTACCCGCCTCCTTGGGGAAGGGGGACTAAGATCGACATTCGGATCGCAGATTGCTCGTGACGTCTTACAGGTATTAGAGGCGCTGACATGGAAACGAGGCTAAAGGCTCCTTCTGCATTGTATTCACCATTAATCTCGTTCGCATGCATGTTTGAAGAATGTTTGAAAGCGGGCTTAGCTGTGTCACACCTGACGTGTTAACTTACCCCTGCTCTCAGGAACTTCCGAACGCACGTGTCATACTGCAAGCCATTAGACTGGCTCTTGACTCTCTCGTAATAACCAGAGCTTGGTCTTTTTCAACAGAGGGTCGACAGTGTCTTGATTAACTTAACGAGTGGAAACAATTATCTTCCAACCTTTGTAAACTTCAATCCTATCCCTTTTTTACCACCAATTTTAACATTGTTTTCTCTCGCTTTAATTTCTCTTAATTTAAATAATGACAGATCGTCCGCAAGTTGTGCTTCATTTAATGAATATGTAGTAAGTCCCCCCCACACTATTATTTTAAGAAAAATGAACACATAAGACATTTGATGTTGAAGCAACACCAGTGCATGTAAAAAACAAAACAAAATAATTGCATAATTGTCATGTCATTCTTTCCGTAACGACACCTTTTCCGTGATAAATTTCTAATATTTTACTTTAATACTAAGACCGGATTAGCTTTTATTTTTCTTCCTTTGTTTTCAGTTCCTTATAAAAAGACCCGTGGTTATATATTCGGTAAATATTAAATAAGCAACAAACAACTTTAGGAAAGCAAAAATAAAATTTAGAAGGATATGACGAATTTTACAATTATTAAATTAAGTACGGTCAAATAAACCTTATTTTCTGCAGCACTAAGATGCGTTTTTCAGGCAGGCTATTAAATAAATATATATTGCAAAATGCAATTACATGTAGTGAGTTTTCAGTATCAAATTTATGTCCTGTTATGCAGACAAATTGAAAATGGCTTAGATTGAGATATGTCTATGGGTGGATATTTCCTGCCGATAAAAAATGACATTTTTGGTAAATTACATGCAATCTTTTTCACACCACAAGCGCTAGTGAAATCTTGATAATAGAAAAGATCTTGAAAAAATAAACACTTGATTACGGTGGCGTAAAAAATTGCCAAAACTTAATAAAAATTCTGACAGGTCTATTTGCCTTCATACTGGATGACAGTCCTTTGTTTTTGCAGTCTATTAAAGTTGCCTGTATTCGTAAATATAGGCGAAATCCAACAACGATTATTAAACTCTGCTGAAACGTTAAAAGCTGTTATCGTGCATTGGCAAAATCAGTTCCTGATTGAGGACTCCAGCGGGTCACTATAATGGAATGGCTCTATTTTGCAGGTAATAAGTGGAACAAGGTAATAACGGTAAAAAAAAGTATCAGTTGTCGCTTTTCAATCAAAGAACAAACAATTGCTATATTTCTCGGCCACTTTTCGGTAAAAGAAATTTAGAAAATCTATGTCGCGTAAAAATTGCCATACGAAAATCGCGAGCTATAACTGAGAACAACTGAGGTAACCTTGAACTCGAGTCGGTTCTTTATTTAAGGCGCCTTTTATTTTCTAACGATAAATCAACATCATAAATGGTTCGCAACTTGTTAAAATTGTATGGCTAAAGATGGATGTAAATATCAATTTTGATATGAGCAAAGCAAGTCATCGAAGAAGAATTGGCGTTCAACCTTCGCTTTCTAAACATTTACTGAAGTCAATAACTGTTACCTTGTTCCAGTGTCTCCATCACAAGGCTTTTCAGTGCAATCCTAAACCATGGCCTGCATCCACGGCTGTCCACGGCTTTATCGAGTGCCGGGAAAAAGTTATTCACGGCTGAAAGCACAGTACTGAGCAAGCTTTATAATTTATACGCGCGAAAACTACTTAGCAGTTTTGCCCCTAACGTTTCTTTTGCTAAGTGTACAAGGTAAAAGTGAAATTCCCGTTAAATTTAAAATCCGTTGCAATTTTATATATTTCGCACCGGATGCATCGATTATCTCATAAACAAAATGATGCGCAAGTAATTTACGGGTGATTCTGTATTGGCTTACATCAAAGATTTTTCTGTACCAGCCTTTGTACTCCCAAAAATTCGAGACTGATTTTCAGCCTGGGTACTCTATAACTTCTCTGTGCCGTGATGTCATCTTAAACTAGTTACAAGCTAAGCTACTTTTTTGAGTTTAATGAGAGGAAATATTGCTTCGTCCGGTCTTATTTCCAGACCTCGAGTACAGAAATAGTAATCTTTCATTATGACAAATGTCATAGCCGTTTTGTCATTTTGAGTGCAACAGAACAAAAGGGTAAGTTTTTCCAACAGAAGATTGGAAAAGCAGCTGCGAAAACACTTTTACGATTAGCCTGACTGAAACTCAAATTATTGCTACAAGGCATTCAGCGTGCATGTCAGCATATGTCAGGGACCTGATTAATTCATTTTGAAAAACAAAATGATGATAATAATAATAATAATAATAATAATAATAGTAGTAGTAACAATAATGATAATAACAATGAATATCAGGGTGGAACGTTGAGTGGCGAAATAATAACAGGCAACGCGCTTGATCTGCACTGTATCCGCTACGACTTAGTATCAAACTACAGAAGAACCTCGATAACTTGAACTCGGATAACTCGAATTCCCTCCCTGCCAACTCGAACTATAAATTTCTTTTCCTTAATCAAAATTTCACTCGAATTCTCCACTAATTTTTCGTTTCTCTTCAGAGTTCTAGTTACCGGGGTAATAATGTATCTCGAAGTGTGGAATAAGCTACGAGTTAAATCACTGGAGAGATCATTCAGTATGGAAATATGGTTCATATATTTATAGGCAGCTGATCTTTTTTTTTTTCAGTTATAGGCTGGAATCTATGGTTGATGTTATCACTCACAGGTATAATTACGTTGTCAAAAATACATCTGTAATCTAAGCATGAGATAACTGCTCGTATGAACTGGACACAGATAAGGAATAACCCACGTTCGATAAATTAGAAAATTACAAAATTCTAACCCGACTCCCAGGCTTTCTAGTCATTTTTCTACATTTGGTTTGGTTTTCTTTGTGCTCAAGTCTCTTCTGGGAATTGCGAGACACTGGAGTCTAAGAAAAATTTGCAATTTTGACCCTAAAGCCTCGGAGTCACGTTAGAATTTTAATATATGAACGTCAGCTATTGCCAATTTAGAGACTGCGCGTGAAACTGGTTCGGGATTGCGTCGAATTGCAGTATAGGTTTGTTTTGAAGACGCGATACGGTTCTCTCACTGGCTTTCACAAACTTACACTGGAACCTGGGTCGATATTCATCCCCTAAAACGATCTAACAAGTGCAACTCGACGCTACACCGATCCAGTCCTACTCCCATGGCTTGATAGGAACGAAAAATGATGGACAATGACAGTCTTTCAACCAGAAGTGCTGATCCGATCCTCCATCAGGATCCGGTTCTTGTATTTTGTAACGTCGGTCCTTGTTTCCGAAACAAAGGTAATAGAAAGGCATTTAACGTGCTTAAGAAGCCTTAAACGCAGTGAACTCACAAATAAACAAAAGAAATTCTAAAGATAATCTTAATGCATAGTTTGCTTTGAAGAGAAAATATCACAACAATTTTTGTATGAATAATTAATTAGCAGAGAAAGGTTCTGTGGCTCAGGGACTTCAATTGCGAACTTGGGCTTCCTGTGGTTCCCCTAGTTTACAACTAATGGTATCCACTGTAAAATTCAACGTTTTTAGACGCGTCTTGTTCAGATATAGGCTGGTTTTGCTGGCTTTATAAGAAAACCAATAGATGTGTGGAGAGTTCAAACTATGCTGTGAACAAGTGCCGTAAGACCTGCGAGTTTTGCCCATCACCTACTACTGGTAAGGAAGCTGTTAACTTGCGTATCTAGTAACAATTTTTTAGGTTTTGAGTGGGGCAGGGTCGTTGGGGAGGCTATCGCTTCCTTAGTTGCCTTTTACGAAGTTGCATAGGAAACTGATAAAAAATGAGCCCCCCCACTCCCTCCCCCTCCAAAATTCAGCACAACACTGACCCAGTATCCCTCCCTGGCCAATCGCCTGTTCAAAGAAGTAAACAACAGTACACAATATATAGCCTGTTCCCGCATTGCAGTGATCATCAAATCGAGGCTTGTGATACAGTGTTCGTACAGATTTTTGGATCCAAAATTCAAGACTTTTTCCGGACTCTTTTCCAAAGCAACAATTTCTTTTTCCAGACTCGAGGTTATCAAATAGGTGATCAATAGAGACCTTGAAAAACGCAGGAACAGCTTTTTTAATGATGCGCTGCAAACGTGCGGGCGAGATTGAATAAGATTAGACCACACCGAAAACAATTTCACTTATAACGTAGTTGCTGTAGCTTTGAAAACAACAACAACAAGACTTTTTACCATTTTTGCAGGCGTTATCTCCATTTTCCAGATTTTTTCCAGGTCTGGGGAATTGCTGGGCAAATTGCTTAGAACGTTATACTGTTCGCCCCATGAAGTAAGGTAATCCGGACTCTAGAATCCGGGAGATATTTACTCGTGGAATTCGGAATCCTGGGCTGTGGATTCCGGAATTCGGTTCACGAAATCCGGCATCCCGCTAACGATTGGAATCCAGAATTCAAATTCCAGTGACAACAAATCCGGCATCCAGTGCCTGGAATCCGGAATCCACAGCGTGGAGTCCAGAATCCAAGACTGGTTTGGATAACGATTATACAATGGGCGATGCTATGTTGTTTTTAGAAAGTCCAGTCACAGAAGGGTCATCGTCACCTGTGGCTACCCTCGCAACAACGCCACCTAAGCCTGAATGTTTCCATCAGAGTTTAACCCTGCCAATAAGCCAGGAACTGTTTATGGACAAAAAGCTACAAGGTCACGTGATCTGGCAACAGTCAGTTTTTTCGGAGCTTCAGTGCGAGGATCTTTGCATTCGAGTTCCCGGATGTTTGGCTTACAATTACCACTACTCCGGTGAAATGGCACAAAAAGCTTGTGAGTTAATGAACGAAGTTAGAGTTGTAAACAACACCCTTGGGTACAGCTTCAGGTTGTTTGAGCGAGAACGAGTTTTAAAGGTGAGCAAACGTTTACTGCACTAATTATGCTTCCCTCATGTGCTCCGTCCTCATCTTAGAAACTAAGGCCAGGTTCAGACGCCGCTCCACTCATGTGCCGAACCTAACTGATGAATTAAGTACGGCAAAAGAGCGGCATCTGAATCAATTTGGTACGGCAGTTTTAGTTTGGCGCCGCAAAAGCGTTAAGTTCGACAGAGTCTGTCGAACTTTTGTCGAACTTAACTTAGGTTCGACACACGGTACGCCGTCTGAATCAGGTGTCGCGCCACTGTCGCTCCAAAGTCAAACTTATTCAGTTAGGCTCGGCACATTAAAAGTACGGCGTCTGAACCAGGCTTAAGGGTCGATTATTTAAACGAAGTCTAACTTAAGCCGCAGTTTAACAAATCTTTGGAGCTCAAGGTCTCTTCCTTAGTGGATTTTTAAGAAGTTAAATACTTTTCTTGTCTACTCTGTATGCTTTTATAAAACTGTTCACAATAAATGGTGTTTAGAAAGAACCTTTAGGCAAAATGAAAATTGCTTAAAACGTGCTTTTGCTAAACACTGGCTAAACTACGTTTAAATAACTGGCCTTTAAGGTCTCTAATTCGAGCTATACGTTGACCAACGCGCTCACCATGTCTCCTACTATACAATTCCCTCCATGGTCAAGTTACGTTCCTTTACGGTAACGAAATATTATCTCCATTATTTTTGCAGGTTTTACTGGGATCTTGCCTCGGCGAAACATGATACTGACTTTCCGAATGAAGACAGAGTAAAGCGTTTATTTTGCGAAAACAAGATCATGTAACAGAAGAATGAGGAAAATACAAAGTGTACGAGCCTGTTACCAAGGGCGGGACGATTGGCGCAAATCCAGAAGTAGTTACCATGGCAACTCATGTGCTCTGTTCTTAGAGAAAAGGGGCTCAGTTGTTTGGAGGCCGATTAGCGCTAACACGGGGTTAAATTTTAAGCCGGGTTTCTTTTTCTTTTATTCCAAAGCATTTCATCGGATAATTTTCTCTACTATTTTTAGAGCAACGAATTATCAAAATGTAGAAAAAAAATTAAACTGAATTTACTTTTTAAGGTTTCATATCTGAATTCAAATTTCCCACTAACCCTGGGTTATCTTAGCCCGGCTTTGAACAATCCGGCGCAGGATTACCTAGAGCTAGGAACTAGAACAAAGCGTTCGTTGTAAGAATATTTATTTGATTTCTTTGCTTTATTCAGTCATTTCTTCGGCATAAACATAGCCTAGCCTTTGCGGTATAAATAGTGCCAAAAAACTAATCATTACTTTTTGCTGGCGACAAGAGGAGCCCGCAATCGTAATCTCCAGGTTGTTATTACGCATGCGTCGCATGTACGTAGCCAACATCCGCTGACAACATTCGTTTGAACTTCCACTAAGAATGAATGGAATGCACAGAACGCACTTTAATCCCGCGCATTTGGGCCTTCTATCACTCGTAATCTGATCACGTACTCTTAGCTACAATATATTTTTTCCTTCAGAAAATAAAAACCTATTTAAGAACCTAAAAAAGCGGTTAAGAACCGGTTTAGGCTTACTTGGGAAAATGCTTGTTCTTAGTCGTGAGTTTTTAGATTATCGACTCGTAGTATTGGAAATTTTTCAGTTAACAGTATATAAAGCCGATCGTATCTTCGCCATATGCATCGTAGGAACGAACCGGACAGCTGGCTGGTAAAAACAGAAGTTCCAAGCGAAATTCCGACGTCTTCAATAACAAACGTGCACCCTTCTCGTTTTGTATCCCCGAAGGTTAAAAACGTTAGTTGACGACATAATCTCTTGACATTCAGTCAAATCTAAAACAGCCGCCGCGTTTGCAATGTCCTAACTTTAACGACAGTTAAAAAAATAAGAAAGACAAAACTCGGAATAAAAAAGAGAAATATAAAGGCCGCCCAGTCTGTCATTACACATTGGTAATAGTACCTTGGAAGATCACTGTATTCTTGTAACTTGTTTTCCACGTAAGAGAATTCCAAGAAATCGAAACTATGCCCTAAAGCCACTGCTGATGACCAATGGCATTTGCCGTAGTCTTGAAGACTTCGAAACGGATTAAATCCAGGTATATCCACTGCGGGTAAGCCACTTTCGTGGGCGAGTATTCCCAAATACGCATCCTCTGCTAGGATCGCCTTCCACTTCTTCATACTTTGGAAAATTGAGCGCAAAGCGCTCGCGGAAACGACATAAAACGGACCTGAGCAATATGGTGGGTAATATTCTATATCCAGGCAGTCTTTCGTAACGTAGTTCTTTTGACTGGCGGAGCGTCTAACTTGCGCGTCTCCTATTGAAAAACCTCCATAAAATAGTTCAGTTGCATACAACTCTAACCACGTTATAAGATATGGAATTCGGATATAGACATCGTCGTCTGTTTTCAAGAGTAATCGAGGATTTACATGAACCAAACCCCATAATAGCCCTGAGAAGGTCTTTATTACCAAATTGTCATAATTTTCAGCGACATCAAGAACTAGCACATCATTGAATACTGATGATTCTTGCATGATTTCCTTGTCCAGTTCAGAGTTGTGTGTTTTACCCAAGACAAAGATGTGTTTCCACAGTCTAGAGGCGTGATGTCTAGTTTTGTTAGCCCATGTTTTACGTATCACGTTCCTTCTCTCACGATTCAATCTTCCAGCTCCAGATACAGTTAATACAAGAAGAAATATACTCGTCAAGTCTTTTTCCTCGAAACGTGGTTGTATTACAGGCGACACAAACGAAAACGTCAGCTGAGAACATTGAGAGCGAATGTTCTTCAACAACGTGAGTTCGGAGGAATTTTCTCCGAACACGAATGTCTTATTCGCCTTCATTTGTAATGATGCTGTAAACTGCTGCACTGAATTTACTTTGAAATTTTGTCCCCTGTTTTGAATCCACATATCTGAATAATATATGTTGTAGAGGATCAGGGCAATGAATTCAACGAAGACTATTGCTGCGAAAAGGGAGCTTCCAGTCTTACTCAGCCTCATGCTATGACGAGGGCGCGATTACGATCCGGCTGCGGCCTCGTCTCTTCATTCAAAGCCGCCAGGTTCTTTCAATAAAGTGCACCTAATGTTAAAAGGGGAAAAACCGGTTACCATATAACGTAAACTGCCGTAAACAAGGGGAGGCTTATATCCGAGGGGGCATATAACTGGAATAGAAAAAGCGATTCAAAACAAGCTATAGCAATGCTGATCAAAGTACGTTTTGCAACACTTATTAACCGAGAGTGAGGTCATTACAGGGAAATCTCAGACCGAGGCCGAGGTCTGAGATTTCCCTGTAATGACCGAACGGACGAGGTTAATAAGTTATTTATGACATGACCTTTTCATTATGGGCCTGAGCCTGCGATTAATAAAATCCAACAACTGGTCAGCGGATAACTTTCTTAATGAGTTGTACACTTAAACCCAGGGGGTGGTGAACTTGGTAGTTTGTTTGTCCTGACGATCTTGGCCATCGTGACGTCACGAAGAGAGAAGCGCGCAACTTCGAGGAGTTTTCGAAAATGGCGCCGTTGTCATTTCAAATGCTACTTTTAAAGTTGGTTTTCCTGGATATTGACGCTCCAAAATGGTTTTTGTCACGGTAGGATAGTGCAGTTCAACATCTCTTTCCGACAAGGTGAGTGAAATGTGTATTAATCCGAAAAATAACGCGTATGAGAGCTGTAAACAGTTTCGGTCAATTTCCTCGAGTGGAATAATGTGCCGCAAAAGTTTGCATGTTCGCACAGTAATATCGCATTTTCTCGAAATCGGTGAGGTGTTGAACATCGAAACTTGGCATGAGGATGGGTTACTTCTATTGGAAAGCATTGTCTCTGAAGTTAATTGAGATAAACTAGCAGAAAAAATGATCAGTCCATTCGAGTGTGCCAGCGTAGTCCCAGAACTGATGCAATTGTATTCATAACTTTGCTGTTATCTCCAATAATGCCAATAGTACCACCTATTCAAGCTGTCTTTTCGGGATAAGTAAACTTTAAAGTAGTTTCTGTTAGAGGGAAAGTATAGTTGCAACAGCTCTTTCAGCTTTCCGAGAAGGAGAGTTAATTGTATTATATTCTGTTGATAATTACCTCGTAAACAGTTTAAGCCAATTTTTTCAAGTGGAATATTTGTCGCAGAAATTTGCATGATCGCATATTAACATCGCATGTTTTAGAAAATCGGTTTGGTGTGGAAATTCGAAACTTGGCAGAAGGGTAGGTCAGCAATAGTGGAAAACATTGTCCTTGATGTTTAATGGGAGAAATTAGCAGTAAAAATGATCAGTCCATTCGAGTGCGCTTAATATTGATATAAACAGATGACCTCGACTCGGTTATCCCGGCACAATGTAAGTCAATTATTTTTCGGTTTTAAGAAAAAGGAAACCAAAGACTTCCCTCAAGGCCTCAACACTATGTATCTATAATAATTACACCAGAAATATATATTTTTTTAACACTTGAAGATTGTACCATCTTGTTGAAGCAAAGGATATTTCTCTGTAATACCTATAAGCTTACATTATGTTTTCATAAATAGCAAAAAAAAATTAATAAGATTTACATACAGCTCCAAACATGTACATCTGTTATGCATGAAGCAATTTCATATCGTTCCACATCAATAGTTAGTGCGAATGGAGTCAAACATGTACAGTGAAACTTGTATAATTTAAGCGGACATCTCAGAGAATGCTGTAGTGCCCACTTAATACAAAGTTTCTTCCTACTACGTACAGGTTTCAATAGAAAATGTCATATGAGGCAGACCTGCCAACTCTCACAATTCTGCTCTGAGTCTCACGATTTTTTAACTTTTCTCACGGTCTCACCACAAGACTCCCAATAACATGGTTTTCTGGGAAATATTCTAAATTGAAATATTACCTTGTTGAATAAAAACATAAATTTTGTGGGGAAATTCTTGTGCCTGGATGAAGTTGTCTTAGACCAAAGAAATGACTCTGCTGTATGTTTCGTCACAGTGAT